AAAATGACAAATCCCTAATTAAATTCGAAAAGGTAAGACCTCAACAAAACCCCATAGACACGCGTGTTATAAGTCCGTTTTTTTCTCGAAAATAGACTATGTCAAAGTTAATGTACACGAGTAAATTAGAAATAGTATAAGTACGAAAATATTCGTGTACAAAACCTATGGCCGTCCGCCTACTCACTGCTATAACTACTACTCACCACTGAGTCTACCAGGGAAAGTTACAATGCTACAATAATGCAATTCCTGTTCACTCATGCATAAACGTTTAGAGAGAATATATAAGTAGTATTTATTTCCATAGAAAAGCATATACAATGTAACAATATAACAATACAAAATAAGATAACAAGGAATCTTTCCTTCACATAGTGAATAGACATATTATAAAGACGTGAAAATCGTGGCCCAGGACGTTGACATTACTCAGGCAGGGCCTAACATGTAAACATATACATACAAACATATATACTTGTTCTAAGATCATTAGCAGTCAGAAGTATCAGTTATAATATGAAAAATTAATTATGGGGTTCGTTCAATCTAAAAATATAATAATATTTATGTAATGTAGAACGTAAGGGTAAAGTTTAGCGGAGAAGGAGGATGAAGTGGGAAAAGGGAGGAAGAGAGACATAGCAAAGGAGAGAGACGGAGAGAATGAATTTACAACAGATTTCTTGATTGCATCTCACGGAGAATAAGCTGTATCGTATTATACACACATTTGTTATAAAAGTTGACTTATCATTATTTAAAGAGTTCTCATGAATTTTGTAGTAAAAATTTTGGTCATTTGCTTCTAAATAATCACACATTTGAGTTGCTATAAAAGGTACATTGCATAGTTTACATTTATAGTTTATTCATAGTTTACAATTGATGATAAACTCGATTAAATTTAAAATCACTGATTTGTTTGTTGTTGTTAAAAGAATTAATGTCCAAGTATATATTTTGGTAGTTGACAAATACAATTGTAGCATCGAATTTCATTATTTAGTAATTGATTTGATAAAAATTGACACAAAATATACTTTCCAATTTCAATTCAGTCATAGACTTCAAACTATATAATTATATCGGTATATATCAATATCTAACATTCAGCTGTTATATTCGTGTCCTCCTGGTTCCTACACGTATTTTTCACATCTATAGGCTGTTATTGGAGGAGTGGAGGTAATGTCCATGCTGGGTCTTGTCTTGCATGGAAGATTGAAAATGATGACACTACAGCCATTTTTGAAATTTGATTTGACAGGGTTTTGGCGGTTACGTTTGCGTTAGCCATTTTGATTAGTGATTTAAGTGACTGAAAGTTGTGGTTAGTTAGTAGACCGCGACTCCCGACTTCGAATGCTATAAGGGATACATCAAAATTGCGGGCCGAAATGTCATGAATCAGGGGGGCATATTTATTACATTTATACTCATGGGCCTTGGAAATATTAAGGTCGAATGGGACAGTTAGTTCAAAGATGAGCAGTTTCTTTTCGTTGGGCCAGTAGAGAACTAGATCGGGTCGGTCAGTTGTTGGTATTACTTCTCGTGGGATAGTTGAGGATGCATGGGCATTGGGCTGATTGAGATCTACTATTATTTCGGGGTTGGGTGTATCGTTTACTGTTGCTTTTGTCTTGGTGAGGGCAGTGTGTATGACGTTAAGTACATTATCATGTCTCCAAGTGTATCGGCCTTGGGTGAGTTGCACGTTACAATAGTTCAGGACGTGCAACAAAGTTTCACGGTTTCCACATAGGTCACATTTATCGGAGACGTTTTTGCCCCAACGTACAAGGTTTGATTTGGTTGGGAGTGTGTCAATGCTTGAGTTCAGAACGAATTGCATTACTCTGCGCGGCACGTCAAAGATGAAACTGTTCCAGCATACTGACAACTCTTCCTCCAAGGTGAGAGCCAGTAGATTACCTTGGAGGACGAGTGTTTTCAGTTTCTCCTTCCAGGCTTTCCTGGTATCTTCCCTGAGATTAGATTTAACTGACTTTTGTGCTCTTTGGAGGATCTTTGGGTCTCTTATTTGTGTTTCTGTGGGGTTAATGTGTTCAACTATACGGGTGACAGTTTCGACAATTGGGAGCAAGATCGATTTCCGCTTAACCCACTGCCTTTCCCTTTCTACTCTAGAGGCTAATGCTGCTTGTACCTTGTCATCGCCTTTCAAGATGGATGATGTGTATGCAGTTGCTTGGCATTCCTTGTAAAGGACTGAGATTGGGGTTATGCCTAAAGTTTCCTTCAGGTATATGGCTATTGGGGTACCACATTGTGGGATTTTGGCCCATTCTTTAAGTTTCTTATTGGTGAGGGCATCAAGATTGTCTAGGGTTGTCTTAGTTAGATCATGGACTGTTAAGAGGAACCTAATTGAGGGCAAATAATATCGTTTGTAGATGGCTATTTTGTATTCTGGGCGTATCAGGGAACTTGAAATGTTGTGTAGATCTGATTTGACTTTTGATATGACATAATTGGAAATCTCTGTGTTGCTGGTATGGAAGGACACCAATGATCCAAGGAATGTATGAGGATCGTCAGCTACAGACCTTACTGCATCGTTCTCGATTTTGAATTGAACGGTGGTAGGGGTTCCAGAGCAAATGGAATGGGAGCGGCATTTGGTTGGCTTGAGCTTAAGGTTCATGGACTTAGCAAGTTTATTGATCTTGTTTATGATTCGTTGGTGAGTTCTAGAGTTGCGGGTTATGATATTGAAATCGTCCGCATATGGAGTAGTGATTATTTTAGTGCCATTCATATCATATCCATTTTGAATTTCAGATTGCAGGATTTCAAGGAGAGGGTTGAATGCCATTATGAACAGAGTTGGAGATAATGGGTCTCCCTGAAAGACACCTTTACATAGTTTGAACTGTTCAGTCTGCCATTCCGAGGTTCTCACAAAGCCTGAGAGATTGGCATAGAGCTTATGGAGATACTGACGGACCTGGGATGGGATCCTGAATCTCTCTAAGGAGAGTTGAATTAGTTCATGGGGAAGACTCCCGAACGCATCTTCTAGGTCGAAGAAGGTGACATGAGCTGTTTTGTTCTTCGAGCGGGCATGATTGAGAACCTCGGTAAGGCACTGATCTTCTATACATCCATTGATACCTTGTATAAATGCTTTCTGAGTACTGTTATCTACATAGCCGTTAACAGTTAGATACTGAGTGAATCGTCTCGAAAGGATCTGGTGGTAGATTTTGCTGACCGCTGATGTTAATGCGATCATACGGAAATTTGCAGGATCGTTTGTTGATCCTTTCTTATGAATCAGTGAGATCTTACTTCGAGACCATTCACTCGGTGGTTCTGGTTGGGATAACAATTTAGAGTACAGAGTTGCTAAGAAATGGTGGGTACAAGTGAGTTTCTTAAGAATACCATACGTGATACCGTCTGGTCCAGGGGAAGATGACGAAGACTTGGTTCTTAAGACGTATCGAATGTCTCTAGGTCTGATGGGGTCCATGTTGAACTCCTCTTGTTGGGCGGGAGCATCTGGTATCCAGCTGACCTTTGACGCATCCATCCTGGTGACGTTGGTATCATAGCGTGCAGAGAAGTACTTAGATGCATCAGCAGAGTTAAATGAAGGACCAACTGGGCGATCCCCAATCTTTGCCGTCACACATTTCTTACTGAAGTTCCAAAAGTTATTACGATACATCTTTTCCTGATGCGCAGTCGAAGCTGTTCTCTCCTCCTCCTCTCCCCGTCTTCGGAGACAGTCGTAAAGTTGTAGCGCGTCGAAAAACTCCGATCGGTCGGATTCGGTTGCATTTCGGTTAAAGGCCTTCTTACGGAGACTGTTTTTAATCCTCCTAGCCTCTTTCATGCATGATGATGTTTCTGTCTCCTTTGTTGTTTGCTGATTGGGGCGCTTGTTTACACAAACAAATTCATTGTGTGACAGTAAAAACTCTCGGACAATTGATTCAAAGGCAGTGTATGCTGCGGCCGGGGACAGTGAGTTTGTTGAAAGCTCTAAATGGGAAGGACCCAATAGGTCTTTAAGTTCATCATTGAGCTTAGACCATTCCTCTCTTGACAATAATGGGGTAGTGAACTTCGTAGTCATGGAGACGAGATCGGCTTTGTCGTCCTTGATCACTGCCGATTTTAGACTAGCAGTTTTAAGCGGTTGATAAGGTATGAATGACGCCTGAGTGTGCGGCTGTAAAGCTGACAGCAAGATGGCCACTCTAATCAAGCCGACACGGGCACAGAGTTTATTCACAAAGTAAGGAGTATGCATATTACCTCTTGGAGATTTTGTGGCCCTGTAAAGCTCTGTTATGTCCTTGAATATTGATAGTCCGTCTGGTGAGCTTTGAAATGATGAATGGAGATATGTTCGGGGTTGGCAAGCACAATTTGCACAGGCGATAATAACCCTACCAACCCTACATCTACGCTCCACTGATCAGAAAATCATGAATGTATCATATCACCCTCAATTTTGTAAGCTTCAAAGGATTAACCTCGCACAAATTGGAAGGCTAATTCCTACGCAACCTAATTTGCATACCCTTTACAAAAGTGAGCAGTGCTCATCACCCAAGCATGAATTATTTTCGGACTTTTTGGTGTCATATGAAAGTTGAGTTTATGAGCTTTCCATACATATAGCACTTTTCCCCCAGAATCATATATTTCTTTATTCGGCAGCCATTTCAAAAGTGAATAGTTTTTTTGGGACGCACGTTAGTTCCGACAAACCCGAATTCAGACTGGAGAGATAATTGCACATAGTTCATACACTGGTTATATTTTAAACTTAAAATTCGAATGATTACACTGCGTAATTATTTGCGTGTAGTAATTTGAATAACGTCACGACGTGTATCCACGTTTTTGACGGTCTCTTGCTTCCATAAACTTGTGCCTCCCGTACATTAATCACTATCCAAGGAACTATTTCTGCGCTCCATAACGAGCACTGCTTCCGGTGACATATTCTCTCTACCCCAGTGACTATCTATTGTTCTGCGGAATAACGAGACTATAACGCATATTTGTTTTCTTGGTAGTACCCCACTGCATGTGCGGTGACCGAATACATATGACTGTATGCGTTTTAACGATTCCTTTGCCTTATTTTGTTATTGAGCATTGAACTGAGCAGTTCGATGTTATTGTGTAGGCTAATGAGATCACAATGCGGAAATAGAGGAGACAAATGCAGGGGAGGTCTCATCGAGGAGGTGACAAAGAAGTCGGCCCAAACTCAAGCGGAGCCACTCTTTCATATAGGTCTCCAGGAATATATTGTAAGTAAGTATATGCTTTACACTAAATGTAAAAGGTCTGTCATATATTTCGGCACGACGTTATTTGTAGTGGATCCACTCACATATACGTGCGATGTGAGGTTACTTATAGATCATGTCACCGAAAAACTACACGCATATTTGCGATGATAATAAAGTGTTAAAAAAATAAGCCTGCATACTTTGCATGAGGCTCTAGAACTGTCTAGAATTTGAACTCTAGCCGTGAGTATAGTCTTTGCATATAGAATAGGGAAGTAACGGTAATGAAGGACCCTGCCAAGAGTGTCAAGTATTACAGACAAGAGCAATATACACTGTCGCTCATATAGTTGGAATATTTTTGTTTTACCCCAATTTATGGAATTATTTTTAAAATAATTAAAAAATAATAGATCTAGATAATAGTATACATTCTCAGATTTTATTGAATAATAATTTGATAATGTGTGTTTTGCGTGACTGCTAAAGCATATGTTTGCTACTATGCTTATCAACTAGGGGACCTACGCCCTTAAGTCATAAATGACAGTAATGAGGATTAATGCCCTACAAAAGGGCACTAATATAGCACATCGACACGGTTTTGATCCTGGGGCCTCACAGTTACGAGGCCATTGCTTTGTCACTGAACCATGACTGTACGCAGCGGGGGCTAGGGTAGGGGGCAGTTTCCATAAATAAATAAAAGAAAGAAAATGCAATACATTTTCGATAATATAATAATATTGCATTTTACCCTGGTCCCCAACATAAAAAAAATCCTCTGGACGGCCATGCATTATGGCTCAAGGCAAAACACACATTGTCAAATTATTATTCAATAAAATCTGAGAATGTTTACTATTATCTATATCTATTATTTTTAAATTATTTTTAAAATAATTCCATAAATTGGGGTAAAACTAAAATATTCCAACTATATGAGCGACAGTGTAGAAAGACCCATTATTGCTCAAATATGTCATTACTAGTATTAGTATAATATTAGGTGATCTGCCGCGAAGCTTGACAAAGCACCTTTTGAATTCGTCAGAATCTGATTTTATTCTTCTTTCCTTCTGTTTAGATTTTTAGCCATTATTGACCTAAATTTAGCTCATAGACGTTCGTTAAACCTCAAAATTCTCGCTACCCCAAATAGCGATTCTGCCGAGATCCGGGGAAAATCCTGAAAACGCGCATTGCATTATGGGATAGCTTTTCGACATTACAGCTTCCTGTGCAGGCGGCGCGATAGCGCAAACGTAAAACGCCGTCGCCACACAACGTGTATGCACCGAATATGTCGTCTGCTCGGTCTTGTTTTTTTTCCGCAAATATTTCAACGTTTATTTGAACATTGCATTCGTTGTTTTTTGCGTCTTTTGACATCAGACGATGGTTTTCTTTTGTGAGGCTGCACAGTGCTGGGCTCATGATTCCAAGCGTAAGAACCCTGAAAAATGGGGGTGGATGAAGGCCGTGACTTGGGATGGGACTCTATACCGGAAGTTGTAGTGACGACCCGAGAGAGTGAAAATTACCTCGTCTCGCGAATTTCGAGATTTTCGTACCTATTTAGGGTAGCGAGAATTGACAAACGCGCGCAAATGCAAATATTGCAAAAAGTGGTAAAAAAAAGTATCTATTTTGAATTCACTAATACTCTTCAGAATGGCTATGTTAACCTGAATTTTTCTTTCATGGTCTGATAGAGTATAAAATGGAGATGCAATTTCATGTATCACGTTTGCTTTTAGAATATTTTGACGTCAATATAGTGCCACTCAAAGGAAAACAATTGAATTTAATTCGATTAGGTAATATTTGTCGTTGTCGTCTATCCCTACTCTGATGTCTCCTACATTTTATTTTAGCTGGGATTTTTCTCTACATTATTGTATGATTCAATTTTGATCAGAAGACGGGATCAAGGTCTCCCTACCTTCTCTCTTTCTCTCTCCCCACCCCTCCCCCTCTATTTCTTTCTTTCTCCCTCTTTCTCTCTTACTCTCTCATAGGTTATAATGATAGGCAGTTGCGTAGCGTGGGCTCAGTCATGGGTCGGGGTGGGCAGGGTATCAGTCTTTAGTCTACTCGACGGCCCAAAGGCAGCAGAGTTTCTTTTAACGTCGGGGGGGGGGGGGGCACCAACCCAAAGGGCACATTTGGGGGAGGGGGACGCGCACCTGAAAAGGTTTATCTCGAAGTGGAAAAAGTATGAATTTTAAACCTTGGTATATACCCCTACTGCATTATCAGGGATGACTTTAAAGATTTTATCTTTACGTGGTCCAACATAATTCTTCGCCATCATGCTTTTTCAGTTGAGTGTGATGGTCTGAAGCGAGAGAAGTGAGTGAGCTTATCAAAATTGACCTATTAGGTCTTATAATAAGATGAATTTACCGATCCTGATGGGGTTGTAAGCACAATCTCATGATGAAAGAATGAATAAGAACTTTATTTTGAAGTTAATTAATGAGATGAATAATAAATGCGGGAAATTAACGAAAAATTGCTCTCAGTTGATTAAATAAAGGACACATAGGGAGGCAATTCCAATTTTTTCCCGGGGATATGAGGGGTGATAAAAGAGTAATTCTTGTCATAGCACGTAATGGTAATCATATATCTTTTTGACAATGACAATTAGTTAATGTATACGCAGTAACCTTTGTTTTTTTTTTCTTTTTCTTTACCTCTTCAGAGGGACTTTATGATTCCATTTCAAAATACATATAGACTATTTGCAAAACAAGTAAAACGAAACATGAATTATATACAAGATCAACATAATTTCTGAAACGGATCATTATAACATTTCTATTACTTTCTTAACTTCTTCATTAATCGAAGTATTTTATATTTTCTTTGTATTTCAAATAAAATTTCAATGATGAAATGAAATTGTTTATTAACCTCTTATGATTGGTTGGTACTTTCCCAAAGTTCCGCTCTACGTAATCTGTGTATATTACAAGTTGTGCATAATTTATCAAGAAATTAAGTAAAGTAAATGTTCTATTTTAAAGATGAAATATAATTCTTGATATAATTTTCCAGAAAACGTAGAATGCTCAATACTTTCTTTTTCACGACAAATTTCACGTTCGTTAGACTGTACGATTTTCCATGTAAAGAGATTATCTTTAGAGGGTAAGATCCTATGAATTAATGTGAAGTTATATGTTTGATATTATTTTCTCTTATCTTATTAAATTTGAACTGAAGTATAGCTTTCAAAACAAATGTTTCTGGCAGACCTAACAAATTTTGACAAAAATGGAAACCAACTTTCTCTTTTTTCTTTTCTAGCATCAAATTATAGTAACTTTTTGCTTTAGTATATTCAACGTTTATAACATCTAATGTTGTCTCAACCATTGGGTTAGAAAACTCCGCCATTTTGTCTAACCCTTCGTATTCTTCGACACTTTCATTGTGATGGTAGGTATAGGGAACTTACTACACAAATCTGCTCCGATTCTTTGAAACTAGATGTGGCTCATCGGATGACCGCAAAAGGGCACACTTTGTAAGGAACATTTGGAAATTTCGGTAAAAAGGTGCCCTGTTCAAAGGGCAAGTTATAATAAGGAAAAGGGACATTAATCAAAGTAACAAACGGGACTTATCATATTCTAAAGGGAGCCTATTATCAGGGTTTAAAAAGGGGGTAAAAGGGCAATTATTAGAAAGAAAAGGGGGCATTAGTCAGAAGGGCAAAAGCCACCTATTTGAAAGGAAAATGGGCACTTATCATATCAGAAAATGGGCTATCATCAGAGATGAAAAGGGGCACTTACTACAAAGGAAAAGGGACACTTGTCAAAGTACAAGGCGCACATATCAGATTTAAATAGGGACACTTATCAAAGGGAAGGGGTGCTTATTAGGAGAAAATGGAACATTTACCCCTCGTAAAAAAAGCACCTTTGGGTTACTTGAAAAAGAGAAGGTCTAGTTTTATTTCTCTCTTTCTTTATTTGTTTCTTTAATTTTCTCTCTTTCTTTCTTACTTCTAATTCCTCCTTTTTTTTCCTTCTTTTTTTAACTTAATTTTTCTTTCTTTCTATCTTTCGTGCTTACTTTTATTTTCTGGCTTTCTTTCCTTTGTTTCTTTTTTGTTCATTTTATATGAAATGAAACGCCCAGTAAAATCATATGTGGCATAGAGGGTTATTCAACTTATATTGCACCAAAACATTTCCCTTGAACTATCGTAATGTTTATTTTTCATCCCTAAAAGCAGAATATCATAGCTTTATCAAAAAAGGAAACACAGCATCTGCACAGATAAAAACATGCGATATCCTGTAGACCTGCAGTTAACATGTTATTTCCTGTTATTTTGAACTAACATGAACTTTCTTTTCTCATCATGGAGTCGAGGTCACCTCAAATAATCTAGGGACCAACATAATCTATACAAGGCCCAGAGAACTATTATAAAACAGAATATACACTGTTGGTCTTAAAGGTGGATTTAAAAAAAAAAAACCAGTTTATGGAATGATTTTGACAATGATTTATTCTTAATAGACTTAGATTCTCAGATTTTATTGAATAACAGTTTGCAAGTGTTTGTTTTACGTGACTGATAAAGCATGTGTTTACTACTATGCTTATCAACTAGGGGACCTACGGCCTTAAGTCATAACTGACAGTAATGAGGATTAATGCCTCACAAAGAGCACTTGACTTGTATAGCTGATCGACACACTTTTGGCCCTTAGGCCTCATGGTTACGAGGCCATTGCTTTGCCACTAAATCATGACTGTACGCAGGGGGGGGGGGGGGGCTAGCGTAGGGGGAAGCCTCCCACAAATTAGAGAAATCCAAAGAAACCGCAATAAATTATCAATAATTCATTGCATTTTGCCACGATCCCCAACATAAAAAATCATCTGTGTGGCCATGCCTTGAACCATAAAGCATGATCGTATAAAAGATTTTTCCCTACTACTTCGACTTTTATTACTATTACTACTGCTATTACTACTACTATAACAACTCCTTTGAATATTACCAAACATCTGAATGGTGTCTTGTTTTTCTAGACTACGTACAAGCTAAAATGCCCTCTCCCGATGAACTGATTATTAACGTGGACGGCTGTCATATGTGATGAACAAACATAATGATCATTATGATAACAGCCATCGTTATGACGACAACTTTGTGCGAATTGAGAAGCGGAGAAAGGGGCGAGGGTGAAAGATATGTTGCAATTGGCCATTATCATAATGTAATAAAATCATAATAACTATTATTCAAGTCCAATTTCTGCTATTTACTTTTCTTTTTTTGCTTCAATAAGACAGACATGCCAGTAACAACCGAGATAACATATTGCAATTTATCGAGCTTTAGTTGATGTATTTTAATCAATAAGTTGTTGTTTTTGTATGATCTTATTCTGATTATGTATACTATTTTAGGCATTTCCTGCTGCATTTCTTGTAGTAGGAAGAAAAGACTTGCGGGTTATAAAAATTTCACATACCTTTTTTTTTCTTTTTCCTTTTTCCTGGCAATTTCGGGTTCTGCAGCATGGGAAGCCGATTTCAGTTTTGCATACTTTGTATTCTATGTTGCCATTCTATTGTACCTCCTATTGTATGTTTGAAATGCCAACTAAATAATAATTAACAAAAAATACAATGCATGAATCTTTGTTCAGTGCCAGGTTAGAATTATTTCAATTACCTGTTATGAACAATTGTTTTTCAATAGTCACAAAGCAAAATTGCATATTGGATAGACCGAACAAAGAATTACATGTACATTAATAAGGAATTATTGGTCATTTCGGAGTGGGTGTGCATGAGTAGGTTTGGCGGTGTGACTGAGGCATAATTGTGTCTATTCCACCACTCCCCCCCCCCCCCCCAACAAACACTTATGCGTAAAGCGCCTCAGTTACAACGCCATTCTGACTCAAATCCAAGTTACACCTGATTCACACAGACCGATTCGGGTAATGTAACGCTTTATTCGTTCTGTTGCCGAAGTAGTGTCAGTCTCACTGGATAGTTTCAATGATCGTACAGTATATGGAGGAAGATACTTGTTCAGAGATCGGATATGTACCCTTTTTCACGACCCTGGGAAATTGTATGACATCATTAATACTTCCTGGCAATCGTAATAGGGCGCAAACACCAACTAATTCTGTTTCCCACTCATGCCTTCGCGTGTTGAGTCGACAATGATCAAAACGTCCTAATTTCATTACCTATCGGTGGAAGCCGTTTTCATACTCGGAGCGTGCAGTGACAAAATAAAAACATTTCCGTAATGAGGTGCCTCACTTGGGCACTTTCGTGGCTCAAACAAAATTCCTGAAGACTGTGATGCGGTTAGAGACAACTCTGGCCAGTTTGCGGACTCAAGCTGTGGAAAATGAGATAATATAAACCATTTCAAAGTATACAAATACAACCTAACGTAAGTCTATGATTTCATTGATCAATTAAAGTCATTGTCATCTTTGGTTCTCGCTATCTAAATTACATTCTGAGCCGATGAATTACTTTTTGCTTGTAGTGTGTGTGTGTGTGTGTAATTGGGTTTTTACAGACGTGTATCAATCAGATATGATTATTTACGTCTGGGGACCGACTTTTAACGTCACCATCCGAAAGACGTGACTCAGTTTCGAACCTGCGTCCTCGGCTGAAATCAGTTTGTAACTTCCACTGTTAGCTGGATTACAGGCGCACGCCACAACGCCTGGTGGCAGATCCAAAGATCTACACGTAGGGGGCGCGTGTATGGCAGGCATTTGATGGTAAAGATATCGAATTTGAAGGGGAAAATCGCTCCTTTTGATCATCGAGAATAATTTGATCAATCATAAAGCGAGAACTAACCACTTCACCATCAAAGAGATCAACCCCAAGCATATGTTGCATATTTTGTGTAAATCATTTTCTATCATGGTTTAATATTACGTGGCTGTCACAACATGTACAATACTATTTTAGTGATAGGATATTCAAAACTAATTTTAATTTCCTATCTCCATGGCTGGATAAGGGCTAGAATAGAGCAGAATATTTCAATTTTACAACTTTATTTAAAATTCATGACGGTGTATCCTAGATAACTTGATTTAGATCAAAATGTTTCCCGAAGGGAGTTGTTTCTCAAGAGCAATGTTCATTAAATGCTTCATGAATTTATTTGTACATCTTCTTCTCTGGTTTGATAACACAGAATTGAGATAACGTCAGAGAGAGGTCACAGCAAGAAGGCGACTTCACCTCCACAATGGCAGCTTATTCTAGTAAGTTTATGCACCCTACCCCCAGCGGCCTGTATCTAAAATGATCACAAAGATTTTCGAGAAATTAAGCGAAGGGCATTTTCACAATACCCGATTGTGTATAAATAGTTATATACCATAGAAATCATGAAGAATTTAAGTAATACGTCATTGTCATCTGTTTCACCATTTCACTTGATGATGGACAAGGAATTGCCTTATCTGTGATTTCCGGAAAGTCTTTGCGACCGCATTATTTCTAAAAACGAAATAATTGATGAGTGTACAGTTTTATGCAAACGGGGGAGACAATGATGTTGTGTAAAAAGTTGTAATCCGCTTAGTATCATGAAACAGAAAAATAAAAAACATAAATGCTGAGAAAAGAGGATATATTTACCCTCGGGAAATCAAATTTGATAATAATATCACTTTGACGGTGTACTCGGCTTTGCCATAAAGTGCGGAGGGGGAACTTGAAAGAACGAAATGATTTATTCAGTTTGAAAAGGCATACACAACTGCAAAACTGTACCCATGGTATCAAAGATAGAACTCCTTTAATTTTTCTACGTCCGTATGAAGTCTGCTAGGTTATCAGTTATTCAGCCGATCGGGGTTAAACGTTGCAATACAATGAATCTCATGATTATGTATTGGGGCAGTCGTATGCTACGTTTACACTATGTTCCCGGCGGCCACGGCAACCACGTTTCAGGCCACCGTGGACGAAACGGGATTGACGTGACACAACGCGGGGGACCGTATGGGCAAACGTGACAGGCCGTGATTGCCGTGGATACCGTGTCAGATTTTTAAACTGTCAAAAAATTTGCCACGGCAGTCACGGTGCGGATGAGAAACCTAGTAGGCCGTGATAAACCGGGGTGAACGTAACAAAACGTGACAGTCCGTAATAGGCCGTAACAAAACTTGGGGGTGGTCCGTAGTGGGACGGTTTAAGCGCCCGGCACGCTACGGCGCGTTGCGTTCTACTACGGTCTGACACAACGCGAGGTCTCAGAATACCATGATTGCTATTGCTTAGGAGACCTTCTTTTTATACCGCCGACACAAACGTGCTCCAAAGCTGCCCTGCGTCCACGTTTCATCCGTACAAAGCCTTGACAGAACGTGAAAAACGTGTCAGACCTTGATCAGAACGTGGGAAACGTGAGGGACCCCATCAGAACATGAGGGGCCGGGAGGGAACGTTCTGGCATCCGTGGTAGAACGCGGGCCAAACCGTAGTGCGCCTTGGAGCCTCCGGGATTCAGCATCCCCTTCCCCCTACGGCCCGTCACGGATACCTTGGAAGCCCGTAAGAAAACTTGGCAAGACGTAACAAAACTTGAATCCAGAGATAAAATTGGTCTAAATCCTACGGCGCACTACGTTTCGGGCAAACGTGGCTGCCGTGGCCGCCGGGAACATAGTGTAAACGTAGCATTAGATGCCAATTTTAGCACGATCAATTATTTGGTACATTTACTATTTTGTAGAGTTAAGCATACGTTTTAATTCAAAATGAACCATTGTAATCTTAATTACGGTCTTTTAATTATACTTCTGTTGTATATTTATCGCACTATCAGAAGCACCACCAACTATCTCCTTCGACGAGTTTAACGGGGATGTCTTTCCAAGAGAGAAGGGCCTACCCTACAACATGAACGCTGGTCATGGGGGCGCTGCAGCTATCCTGCTCCACACCCACCAACGTCAGTCCACCACCCAAAGCCAGCTGAGTCTGATTCAATCCGCTTTCAACTCGAATTCGTTCAACACAAAGTTGATTTCGACATCAGTGGTAGGTATCCCTGCAATTAAGGATAATGTACCCTATTCGGCCTCTATCTCCAGGGATCTTCAAACGAATCGAGACGGGGATCTGATCATGAAGATGAGAGATGGAAGGCACAATGTGACTTTGTTTTCCAATCAGGCCATCTTTACCCGCGGAGGGCGCTTTCCGCAAAGGGAATCATCTCCAGAAGGTACCCTTGTAATAAGCCTCCAGGAGCTCGGATTTGCTTCCATCGCGGATGCCGTCGAGGATACGGCATCTTTCTTGATCGGATGTAGCACATCCAGATCTGACGAAAACACACCTGTCGCTTGCTGCTATCAGGTAGACATTTGGAAGAGTGGAGATGACTGGAAGTTGGACGCTGTCCCTGGTGGAAAATGTGGGTTCAGTGAGATGACAAATAAATGGAAATTCGACATGAACCAGGACGGTGGTGTTAAGATCGAAGGCCCTCCAGAAAGTCACTTCGTGTTCTTCTGCAACCGAAATTACTCTGGGGATGTAAACGAAGGCTCGCCTTGTGGAAAAGTGTTTTTCGCTCAGACGCACAACGGTGAACTCAGCACGACTCTTGTACCCAAGATCCGCACGCACTACGGCCGAGCAATGTTCTTACTCTGCTCCAGGTCGAATCCTGACACTAACCTTGTCACATCGGCGTTGTATTTCGTGGCGCCGATGTAAAACAAGGTTGGTGTGTACTACATCGCGGAAAGCACAGATGAAACCTCACTGGCAACTCCAGCCCTGTGGTTGGTAAGTAAGAAGATTGGGAAGTTAGCAGTGAAGATGAAACCAGACCTAACCGGTCCCTGTCGGTACGCATTCATCTCCAATGCACCAGAAGACCTTGATGACCTCGAAAAGAGATGTCTTCAGAACGATTGCATCGCGACCGGCGCTGATGCCCCCTTGCGAGGTCATCTTTCAGTCGATGAAGGTTTCCTGAACATCTGGACGGACAGACGGGTCGAAATCAAGGTCGAGTCGGGCGCCGATGCTGTCGAAGTCGTGCGGGAATCTGAGTTGGAGGAAAAGTCAGGACGGTTCATCTTCAAGAAAGACGTTTCCAGAGAAATCAATAAAGGAAAGGGTGTAAAGGTTTTCAGGGCGAGCGTTGCCTTACAAAACAAAGGTAAGAGGAAATATTGTTGGAAATTTCCTGTTGCTAACATTTCAATGATTGAAAATTCAAACCAAAATTTGTTCAAAGAAGACCCGCGTTGCCAAACACAATTAGTTTTTGAAAATCATTCCTGTGAAAATATGATCAGTGTATCAATTAAGTCATTTGTGTCAGTAGCGTGAGGTCAGACAACGGCGTCGCTAGTTCATCAAGGAAACCATACATCTCATCAAATTAAGAGATATGGTTGTACCTGTTTAAATTACATGTATTCCCGCAAATATCTTGCAGCGAAAAAAAGGTGTGTCTGTGGAAATGGCGGGTTCGCCATGTTAAGTCGTGACAATAGTAAGATTTGAGTGAAGATAATACTGTGCAAATATTTACAAGCGTTCTCACAAAGTATTCTTACAAATATATTGCAGAGAGAAGAGATGTGTCTGTGGAATTGGCTGGTTCGCCATGTCGAATTAGTACGCAGAAACCAGGTGTGCACTTCGCTATCAACTTCGGGGGCCCAGCCTACGAGAACGAAGATGGAGTCGTGTTTGATGACGGACGATCTGCGATAGCCTCTATCTGCTCAGATTCCGGTAAGAAAATCGATTGTGTCATCAAATAAGATGATGTTTTGATTTAGGTTTAGAGTCTCTCTCTCTCTCTCTGAAAAATGATAGATGGTGGAAGAAATAGCCCATATCCCTGATGATTGGCACAATGAAAAAGATATTGTCACACGCCCAAGCATAGGCGCTCAGAGGTCATTTCTTGCAGCTCCAAATCATCTCCTCTCACGTATAATCTCTATGGGAGGCAATTCTTTTAATGTCCCCAAAATTTGACCTTTAACGGAGTGCGACTCCCGTCCACATGACTATCTCTATACCTATTCCGTTATTAAGTGTTACATGTTATAGGCTACAGTACAAGAGCAACCCAAAGGAAAAATATTTTCACAAAATAAGAATCAATCTTGCTATATGTTTTAATGACAAATTAAAATACCAAGCGCTTGAATTTATTTAACTCATCGCACTTCTTTAACTAACCTACGGTTATAACAAAAATGGAACGATTTAGAGTTTTTTAAATTCAGGATTTGTAATTTATCAAGATCAAAAACTCTGCCCTAATGGTGACCCATGCTTTTCCCGGGACAATTGCTCAGGGCTGTATGTCGCCAAAGGTATAGGATTAGAGTAAGGGTTCAGTTTGCAACCGGGTAGTAGGTACGGTCTAGAGATAAAGTTGGAGTTAAATATAGTGATTCGTCAAGGTTCCGAGTTATATGAACTGACGGAACAGCGATAATGTTGCAAGATCTTGTGTCGTTCAGCCGTTCCCGTAGTAGATCTCTTAGATGCTTAGCGAAAACAATATCCTCTTTCTTTCCAAACACTTAATGAAACACGTTGCAGATGGATGTTATTACGGCTGCCATATTGATCAATTGAGGAATTATCCCCAAGTGGTCGGAAACACAGAAGATGGACCGTTGTACACCACTTTCATTGGGAATCGACCAAGCCAGACTGATTCTGTAGAGTTCAAGGTAAGACTTGCTTCTGGTCGGCTTACTTCGAATCATCGGGTCATCGCGTCGGGTCGGGTGGTCGCGTTACACGATCTTTTTTTAAAACAGTCCCCTTTATTCACAAAATGTCAGGAGTAATGTTTGTGAAATAGCCCCTCTCTTATACAAGTGGTCTGGTCAAATATACCCCAAAACTTTTGAAAACCCTACGGCAAATATACGAAAGGTCGCATGATCTTCCGTTTTCGGTTTACTAAAGGTCGTGTTAAGAAATTACATGAACGGACACGATGGGTTGGTGATTCGAAGTGACCCCTTTTAAACTGTTAAATATAGGCAACGCCTTTATCACTTATCGATCTGCTACGAAAGAAAGTCCTAATACTGCAGGCAAATAAGCAAATGCGAGGCAAACTTGTAGGGTATTGACTATGTCTTGTTTCTTCAAATATTACTCCTCTCGTTACTATTCGTTTTGAAATTTCTTTGACTAGAAAGTAGTCAAGGATATTAGTCATAGTTTTATCTCTACCTATTCGTTTAATCATCAGCCAAATTATTGAGCTAATTAAATACTTTTATGACCATGTCAAAATGTAACCTTTAGCTTTTACTGTCAACTTGTACTTGTGTAAAAGTGAAAATTATTTATCCATTTCATATTCATTGATGCTATCTTCTCAATTTCAGATCCCAGTACCCGAAGGGAGGTTGATCGTCACACTGTTCACGATGTCCTCGGGTTTAGATGACGTCACAGTTCTAGTGAACGGAGCGGATGTGTCAACTCAGGTAATGTTCGTTGCACGTGATGCGTCATTCCCATTACGCTATTCCTGCGCTATTATTTGCGCTATTTAATGCGTTAATCGAGCCTGTGGACGCAATTACCTCTCACACAAGATATTATCAAAAGGTTGTCTGCACTGTTCTTTTTGCAATCTCTTTTTTTGTACGTGACGTGACGTTTTTGTTGTTGTTTCTTCCCGCTTATCCATCTCTTCATAACTCTCCCCCCCCCCTTTTTTTTTTTTTTTTTTTACTCCTCTAGCCTCTTTCGTTTTCTGTGTCCATGACTGATTGGTCCTAGAGTGCGGTTTTTTACCCGCCAATTTTGATATACCAATTGTAGTAAAACCATATACAAAAATTTGTTATTTAATATCAAGGAATTTAACTTGAAATTGTATTCGAAGTAAAGATGATTGTTCTGAAAAGTACGTGAAGTACCTGAATTATTAGTTCGTTAGCGTCAGTGTCTTATATTAACGGCTGTTCCACTCTCCACCTCTAACAAACAGAAGGTTGACAAATGTCTTTTTCTTTTCAAGAGTTCCTATTGCCAGACGATTATATCTATCAAATGCTTTTGTAAAATTCAACTTAGACATTTTAGTCATTTGACATTTAATGTATCGTGAATATATCAATAATATCTGCAGTCAGAACGGTCCGATCTAGTTCATTTACCACATTGCCATTAAATTCCTATTCAATCTAGATTCAGGAGCAATTACATCATCAGGTCGAGTCGATCCCGGGATGCACAGCAAAGAAAGTATCACTCCCTGTAATTGCATCTGACAATACTCTGGATATCTCTCTCAAGCGTAGTAAGTCAATTCAGAATGATATGAAATTAACAAGTTGAAAATAAATTCGAAAGCCTTGATTAGGCTTGACGTTAGCATTTAATCCCGTCAATTTTTTACCAGGGCCAGAACCTTGAAGACTCAGCCCCCTCAAAAAAAAAACTCGATCATAAATGAATATGAGGAAGTCACATGTAGAAACTTAGTATATCAAAGGCATCGAAGATAAATCAGAAGAGTGTAATATTCGAGACATCATTACCAATCTTTATTCTGATCATTAACCATGGAATAAATGTAAAATAATTTGATAACTTGTTTTCATGACTATACAATATGAACATACATATCGCGAACCTATTGCTCGCAACGTTTTGTTTAGGTGGTGGTGTCCAACTTTCTGGTCTCCTCGTCCAAAACGAAGACTCAAATGGAACACATTCCCGTAAAGACCAGCTAGAATTATCTGCGGACCAAAAGCAAGAGGTAGGCCAGTAAAGTGATGATGTTTTCATCTACTCTCCTCCTGGAATTCAATCTCTAATCACTCAGAAATATTTTAATTCAGCATGAAATCGTCAAGATAATTAGGTGATCTGCCACGGAGCGTTGCAAAGCACCTATTAATTTCGTCAAAATCTTTCTTTGTTTTTCTTTGTTTCTTCTTTCTGTATGGGACTTTGTTCGCTTCATATGTCATAATTGCCATGCTTAATGGTATTCTATGCATGCAGTCGATGTCATGGGTAAACTTCTGGTCACACAATGTCCTTCCGCGCGTCATGGGGGACTGAATTTGTTCATATGCGTGTAATATGAACGGAGGGTGGGATTTTTTCTCATTGACTCTGTGTTTTTAGATAGTCGGCCGCATAGTGTAGCGGATCTCCTAATGAGCTTTACATAGGCGTGTTACATGAGTAGAGGGTGGGATTTAAAAAAAGAGCAACTCTCCCATTGAGTTTCTACTTGTGCTACGTCTCGATCAAAGCGGCAGATCACCTAAGTCGTCTCCGTGACGAATTCAATGTCTAATTATTATCATTATAATTATTCTTATCATCATCGTTATTACAACTACCGGCTTAAAGTACCATCTACTCAAATATATTTGTTTACTTGTTGTATAGGTCTACACCTACAGAAAGATGTGGGAAGCTAACCAAATAGTTTATGTTTATGAAAATATTTCTAAAACGAATTTACCGAATAATTGCTTTTCATACCAAACTGATCTGTCATTTAGAAACCGGGCCCATATTTCTGGCTTATCGTTTGGTGAATGTTGTTTCAGCTCCTAAACGACTTTACCAGTTGTGTTTCATCTTTGCTTAACTATGCGAGAGAAACTGGTAGAAAAAAATGGTATTTGCAACAACAAAAAAGAAGCTGGATAGGTCCTTCCGGCCTTTGTTCCCGCGTGGTTTCTTGTCAGAATATCCGGAATGATTCGAAAAGATAATGTAAAAGTTTATTATCGCCCCTGTTGAACCCTAGTTGAACCCATCTTTAGATTGAATTATACACCCACGCGAACACGTCAATGTCTCTTAAACGTATGTTTATATTTCATGTTTAAAATGGCATACATTCAAATAGAAAGCAAATAGACGGCAACATTTGATTTATGACATGCATATACATGTATGTTATATTCTACGGGGTGAAAATATCCGGAAGAATTCAAATGCATCGTGTGAATTTCGTAGAAATGAAAATGGGCAAAACTCAACTGCATGAAAGTATTTAATAATGAAAAGATGAAAATGAAAACTCTGATAATCGAAACGAATAAACCACTTTCAATAAACCTTTTGACTAGAATGTCTTGTTCGGTTGTTACACATAGAAAATGTATTTTACTATTTTTCATGGATAGAGCATGAATTGATGACCAATCAGCCGATTAATTTTCACAGATGAACATACGTCACATATTCATAATTCCTGCAAAGTTCTACAGAATGTGATGTTGGTTGTAAATAGGACATAGTACCTTTAAAATTAAAACTAACATCTAATTCCAGATGATTGAAACAATCGTTTCATGTATCTAATTTCCATTGTGGGTTTGGGTTTTTCTTTTTTTAAAGACCAAATTTCCCATTGAGATTCAACGTGTCTCGGTCGAAGCGGCAGATCCTCATTCGTCTCCGCGACAAATTCAAAGTCTACTTGAATTTGTACTTATTCATTCGTTTTGTATATTATATCCAATATTATTATTAAAATCATTATTATTATTATCATTATCTTGAATGTTTCCTTTCACTTGATTGGTACAGATTGGTGATGATCTTGTCCCTCTCGGTCGTCACATTGCCGGATACGACCTTCAAAACCTCGGATGCTCGGGAGATATCCTTAGGATGAATAAGGTGGGATGTGTGTAATTGATTTCAATAATTTTATTTTTTAATTGAATTTAATTAATTAAATGTCATCTTTAACCTCCCAAGTAGAAATTATTCCTCTTTTTTTTCTCGTTAATTTGAATGCAAAACATAATATATTTACAACTATACGTTTCAAAGGATCTTTATCTTTTTCCTGTGTAATACAATGTTATTATGAAGTTGAATAAACAATCTATGCTCAGCAAGATAGGTTTCATTTTAATTCTTGGTAGATGGCGGCACGTCCAACTTATCTAAATACTAAAATCTTGTTTTTCATTGTATCTTTCTTTGTCAAACATTGGTGCCACCATTGAGGATATCTGATTATACTGTTTCATGCTTTGGAGAAAATATAATAAAGACTTCGTTTGAAGAAAAATATAGTGGAGCCCTAATGGCACCTCTTCATATTCAAAGGTTATCGTTAGCTCGGTGAAAGAGGACCTCCCATTTTGCATACTTGCAATGGACCCAATTTTGGTGAAATATTTTGCTGCTTCAAAAACATTTTTCTTTCGTCAGATTTGCAAGCATTGTAACGTTGGCAACCCACCCCCTCCCGAAAATTACCCCCTTAATTCTCAAAATGTCCAACTATCATGTATACACTAAGTCAATATAAAGTGACAGCATCAGGACTAGGGCTAATGTGATATTCTATCAAAAGGAAGCTAAAAAGTTTGCAACATTGTGAAGAAAGCTAATTACCTTCTAAATACACCCTTTTAATGGTAAGCTGAAGCATGGTTAACTTTACAGTTAACATGTAATGATAATCTTTCATTGAAGAATATCTTAAAATTGGTTTCTGTTAATTGCACATCAAGATCCACAACAAGTTTCACGAATGTTTCACTCTTTCTGTTATGTCGTTGTAATCACTTAGGTAAGAGGTAGCCAAAATGGAAAGGGACCTTTTGAAAAATGGCGTTTGTTTGAAATAAAATACTAATCTGAGGAAGGAAAGACGGTTAAATGTGGAGTGTAGGATCGGAACACCAACAGCAAATCTACCCACAATTATGTTTATATAATATGTACCTCACCAATCAAAAGTAACGTAAATCTGATATGTTTTTTTTTAAGCAGAAAAGGGTACCGGAACAAGATGCTACTCGGTGGCAATCACGATGTGGCGGGGATGGCGTCGAGGAAAGTAAGAAAAAATGATGTTATTAAGAGTATCTTTGGTGGTATATCTTCATTGCCACAACTACAGTATTCATTTTCTCGAAATTTATATTTTTTTAGTCTTTTTACTATTTAAGAGAAAAGTTATTTTGCTACTCATTTTTTAAATTTTACTGACACAAATCCAGTAGCCTTTAGTGTTAGAGTTGACGTTAATCTTGTTCTTTAGGCATCGAATATTTCTTCTGCTAATCGTTCATCATCTTCGTACACCATTTTTTTAACGCCGATACAACTGTATTTGCTGCAGGGCTGGTGTTGATTGGTGAATGTGGTGTCCTAGATTATCGCGTGAATCTTGAAGAGTTCTTTGATGCAGGAAGTCTAGACAAAGCTCCTCCTGTTCAAGTAAGTATAAAAAGGTGTACTTATTCATGTCTTTAATCCCATCCTTTAGGGGTTTTGAACTCCCTTTCTCTCATTTCCCCAAAATATATGGCCTTGCCATCGGTACTTCTCGTATTATAAACAGTTGATCTGAAACATTTTTGCGGAGTACAAAAAAAAGTTATGTCTTTTTGAATTCTTGTCATTCCAACTGTTGAAATAAAGATACAATTCTTTACCCTCCTGACATATTCACTAAATTATTTATAAAATGATATAAACACACATGACAGAAGTTATTTGACAGATGCGATTGCTGTGCAGATACATATAGGACAATGGTAAAGAATGTCTTCCTTTATTAATTATGATAGTAATAGGTGTTTAGAAACGAGGCTGCTTTGCAATTCTAAATACTGCTTGAATATTCCTTTATTTTGTTTACTGATGCATTTTAAGAAAGGAAGATATCCGCACTTTTTAATCAAGCTTTTATTCAAGTTCATATCTATTCTCATTTATTCTTTCATTACAAATATATTGAGCCCATGAAATCTTGTCATTAAATCGTCACTATTAATCAATTTCTAAACAGTTCTCAACATCGCTGCGTTCATTAGCCGCCTCGGGAGCTACCTACGAAATTACATTTACTCTCGAGAAATCGGAAGGGTCAGTGGTCCAGGAGAAATGCACAAAAGGAACACAGGAAAAGTCAGATTGTTGGTCAAGGGTCAAACTGGCCTTTGAAGAATACGGAGCGGGCGTAAGGAGTGTCAAGATAAAGATTGAAGGTGTGTACGTCCCCAGCTGATCTGTTACAAATTGATCACTCATTTAAATATCGGGTTCTTTAAAACTTAAAAAAGCACCATCGTTCAAGCAAGCTTGATGGAGGTTTATCTTTCATGAGAAAATTAAGACACTCGTTCATGAGCTCGATGATGAGACAATCAGTTGGCTTAATAAGGATTTTTCTATCTAGATGATGTACTCCCTGATATTCTTTGTACGAACGAACGAGGATCTCAATCGAAGAGATCTGTTGCGTTTAAAAGGAAAGATAAACAAAAAAACGGAATAAGGAGGGACATATAGGACGTGACGGGCGGTGAAGAAAGCATCCACCAAAGGTTCATATATAATAGGACAAAGGAAAAAATAGCAGTCCGCTTTCAACAGTGCAGGTCTATACTTCAATCTGAAGACACACCTTGCAGCTTTATAAAAGAAAAGTATGTGAATAGGTCTAGTTTAATGTTTCGCTTTGGTACCATAGTAGGATAAATTTCCCTTCTGTATAGACTAATAATTACAATCTTTACAGTAGGATAGGATAATAATAAAACTAAAGAAGGGCTAGAGTTTGAAGTGGCTGTTCACTCCTGAGTATACATATACACGAATTATACCAAAGCGCATCAAATAGGACTAAATATGTAGGTGCACATTTGTCCAACAAAATCGGAATTTGCTGATATGTTCTCTTTGTTTTGAATAATAATAATAACACAATTATGATACTTTTGTACTTATAAGGATACAGACCTACCTGAAAGAGGAACTCTTAGCACATAATGAATTGTGGCTTATTACATGCAGGAAAAATTAACGATATGCATGTATGATATTTAATGTCAGTCAAAGGTCAAGGGGTCGAGATCTCTGCTGCGTCTTTGCGGCTAAAGTGTCGCCGACCACACAGGACTGGCCTCAGGGATGGATTGCATGATGTTAAGATCGTCAGAGATACCAAGATGTTGGCCAGCCTGATACGCAACGTGGTTCGGAAGTACGGACTTCCAACTTTGACGGATCGCTCGGAAAATGAAAGTAATTTTTTGTTATACTTATACAATTTTGAATATTATATCTTTGACAAGAATATTGAGGACTGTTAAGCTAGTTCTAAGAGATTTATATTTAAATGCTACCATAAACCGCGTCAATTGCATTCACATACCTTGGGATGGCAATATTTCAGGAAGTTTACATTTGTATCGATTGTAAAATTAGTCATCCATCTCATAGTCTCTGATCAAGTAAATTTGAGTTTTTATCACAGATCAATAATTTCAGTATTGTTCTAGTGCACGTCCCAAAAGCATTTTATGAAGGACCTTGTATGTTTTGTTTTTGAATTGCTTAAGATCATTCAGTATGTATCGTGAGCTATATGTTATCAAAGTTTGTTTCAATCAGTCACTTTGGTCCTGCAATCGTTCCTTTTTTGTTAAATGTCTTTCCTTATTAATCTTTCGAAGTCTCGGTTCCAAAAGAAGAACCCCTAAAGCAGCCTCCCGCCACGACAAAGTCCGATGGCGCCAAACCAACTGACGACGTCACCGCTGATCACGACCGCACCAAGGACCCAGCCCAAACGAGCCCGAGGAAGAAGCGGGAGATCAGAGTCTTCGTCTCGAGCACCTTCCTAGATTTCGCTGCAGAGAGGGAGATCCTCATCAAGAAGGTGTTCAACAAACTGAAGAAGATGTGCCTTGATCGAGGGGTGTTCTTCAGCTATGTGGACCTTCGGTGGGGCATCACGAATGATCAGAGCAATGATGGCAAGACAATCTCCATATGTCTCAGAGAGGTTTGTGGGTCACATTTCTATTTTAAATGTGCAGTGTTGGGTATTCCCGATAAACCACAGGTGCGACATTGTTAGACAATTATTTCACATTTGACCCGCAACCCCAAAAAGAGACATGTACTTAAAAAAAAAGTAAAATTAAAGATAATATAACGAAAAAGTAAGATTTTACTATAGAAAAAACACACTATTAATGGATTTTACTCTTTTCTGGTTTAAACGTAAGTTGGTAGGATCGATAAGAGAATATCGTCAATAAGATTTAGATTAAAATTATCTAGATTTGCCCCCTTTTTTAAACCTACACAACTGTTTACTTTTTTAGGTAGGGTCTTCAGTCTTCAGTATTTTGCGTCGTCAGGTTCAGCAGTAAAATCATGATTGCAGAGACAATTGAGAAATCAACTTAAGGGCAACTCAAAACCTTATTATATATATATATCGCATAGAAATTATTTTCGGATTACTTAGTGCTGCAGTGAAACGTTCGTGCATTTGATTAAGTTATGGGAAAATCTTATACAAGTGCCTTAGGTTGATTTTTCGAGGTTTCTGCTTCCGTTTCGTTGACGATCAGCCATCCATCAAGTCTTTCGTCTTCTTTGTGCATGGCTGATCGTCAACGAAACAGAGTTAAGTCTTTTGTCAATTCAGTTTGTTGCTACGGCAGGCAGCCCGTGAGAACGAATTCCTTCAATCAAATTATGGAAATGCAAACATTACTTTAGACAAATAGAACTTTTTTTTATTCCTAGCTCATTTTGCTGATTAAGGTGTCATAGGAAAAGACAGAAAATGAACTTTCTGGAAATGTGATTTTCTCTTTGAAATTCAGATACCGCCCGCAAACGACTTTTCGGTACCCTCTTTTCAAATTCTTATTCATCACTAATGGGTCAAATATGTATCAAATGAGTTGTATCACATGGAAGGGAAGGATCTAAGCTTTACAATTATGTATCATTTATCAATTGTAATTGTGATTAAGTTATGATAAAACATCGATAATTCTCGGTTTCGTTTGTTCTGGGACGCACTGAATATTTTTTTGATAGAAATAAGCCACAAACAATCAGATTTTGCTTTGTTTGTTGCGGTTTAAATTCCACATTATCTCTGATTTCAGATCGACCGATGTCGTCCCTTTTTTCTGTGTCTTCTTGGTGATCGTTTCGGCTGGAGTCAAAAGGAAGACGAGGTCGATGCACTCCTCAATAAAACCTACGACTACGCAATCGAGAACTTCAGTCTTCTCAAGTGGATCGAGGAGTACAGATTTAATAGCAGTGTGACACAGGTAAATCATGCTAACATAGACATACCTCCCTAGGCAAGAAATGTAAATAAACTTTTAAAATACACATACACATCATAATGATACTTTGGTGATAGGAGGCATGCCCCCACTGCATTTGGTAGCGGTATATTTCATCCAAGATATCGGATGCTGTGTTAGTTTTAGCAGTAGGGTATGGGTTAGGTAGAATATTAAGTTCAGGGTTAAGTTAGGATTTGCCAAGTGTTAAGTTTGAACGCAAAGTCCTTCAGACAAGTGTCCACGACCAGTTCTAAATCTTTAAAGGACATCAACGTCTGTTTCATTGTTTGAATACAACTTAATTATTCATTCACACTAATAGTCCTTTTTTATTTTATCTTTTTTTTTTTCATTTTCTTTGATAACTCAACATATGTTTAGCAGCAAAGTTTGTGCAATCTCATAATCGTCGAATTAGGGGGAAAACAGTTGTCACTTGAGGTTCAGGTATCTAACATGTAACAAATTAAATTTGCAAACGTACTTTTGAGCCTCATTCGTTCTATGATGATCAAGATGCTGAAAGTGTCTATGTTTATATATTTTGAACTCGTTTGGGAAAAGAGAAATTAATTCATATAATATGTAGTTTCATGTCAACGCGGTATTTTCATAAAACGATGAAAATCCATACGCACGAAGACAAAGTTTATAAAAGCTCACACTTCAAATATTCTTCTTCTCCTTCTGTGGAAGTAGAGCCCAACTTGTTGTCGGTGAATATTCGTACCTTAAACGTTGTGCTGTAACATATACAGTGCTGTGGAATATGTCATCTAATTAATATGCCTAAGCTTAATTAAACGATGCACTTGCAATCCATTGAGATATGAAGTAAAAGTGGAATTACTTCCTTTAATATGCTTTTTTTTGCTGCAATCTAAACAGATTTTAATGCTATATTATTTTACAGCTCGAAGTCCTTCATTCGACCCTTCGGGAAAGGGAGAATGCATCGGATAAGACGTTCTTCTATCTCAGAAAATCAAAGGTAAAATAACTGTATGGTGGATAAACGCTTCGATTTCTGTCATGTATATTGCCATGTAGAGGCACTACCATTTGTCATCTAAAGCCCTTCCCAAGGACAGGGCCTATGGGCGAACGATATATCTGGAATTTAGTCTATATGTTCATTTTTTTAAAGCTTATAATAATCTTTTGAGATAATCCCTAGATGAAGTGAAATTTCTTGAAATAAGTTTATTATGTGCAAAGTGTATTGACGTATAGTTTCCAGAAAAATGAATTATGTATGAACAAAATGTAATATCTTTGTTTACCTTTCTGTTGGAAATGAAATAAATATGAATATGAATATGAATATGAATATTGATGTGGGCTAACAGGACTACCGGGATTAAACCCGATGGCTACCTTTACACTGACGGTTATTGTCGAAGATCCATCATGTCACACACGAAGCATCATCTAAATGACGTAGGAAGGGTTTCAGTTTATCATGTGGTGTATGACGCACCATGTAAGAGAGATATATTAAAACGAGTTAAAAGAGCCAAATTAAAAGTGTAAGCATTTATTTGATAGTTCGTGTTTGGGATAATTGCTTCCATGGGATCTATTGACGATTGACGCAGGTATTAACGCAGTAGAAATTACACCTTATGTTCAACGGACAGAAATAACTTTACGGTGTCAAATTTATGGCTGAGAACGGATTGGCTGAGAACAAATTTAGCATTTTGTTAGTCATATTGATAGTTTCATGAAACAGTACCCTGGACAGGCTCTTGACTTAATGCTTTCCTTTATCATATTCACTCCTTCAATACAGACGAAAGAGGAGCTTCTGAAGGAGAAAAGTCATGAGCCTGAATGGAAGATTGATCAGCAGAAAAGATTCCGCCAAACTGTGGAGGAATCGGGTCTGCCAGTTCGCCATTACGCTGTAGCTGATGAAGGCACAGAATTCATTCGTAAGGTATGCCACACCCATCGAAAGGATTATGAAGTATTGATCTTTCGATTAGGACAGTTAAAATTCTCTTACTTTAAATCTATGTACGTACTAGGCTCAAATAAGCTACTAACAAGCAAATTACCTGTTTTATGATTTCCCGATTTGGAAAGATTGCAGAAGTTTATGGATGAATAACAAAGTCTGTATTGCAATAGTTTTAATGATATGTAATTAAATTAGGAGAAATTAAACTTGTGATGCAGATGTCAGTCATGTGTTTAATTATTCACTAAATATTGGCCGTAGCTTTTTCATCAATATAACATTTAAATCCATTAAGCTAACTGACCCTACAGCGAACCTGAACAAATAGTAATGGCCTACAAATTCAGCGGACTAACGATAATTTGGTTATTTCTCTTCTTTGTCTACTTTAAACAGGACTTAGAGCGATGTATCAACCAGGAGTTCCCACCAGAATCAAAGCTCTCTCCACTCCAGCGAGAACGCGAAGCTCACTTGTCCTTTGCCGAAGCCCGCCGAAGAGTATACATCGGGCGGGCCGAGTACTTCACAAGAATCAACGACTACTTTGCCGGAGATCCGAAGTTACCGCTTGTGGTTCTCGGTGAATCTGGAAGCGGGAAATCGGCGCTTGTCGCCAACTGGTGTGGCCGATTTGAGGATGAGCACCCGAATGATTTTATGTTTATGCATTTCATCGGTAGCTCGGCAGACAGTGCTTCGCATCTTAGATTAATAAGAAGGTATTTACTCAGAAACAAAGCTTTTTTTCGGGGGGGGGGGGGGAAAGGGATGTTTCTCATAAAGGAAGAGGTGGAAAACAACAAGGAAGAAAATATTAAAAGATAGGACCACCCCTCCCGCTCCCCAAGTTGTTAAGTTGGTTTTAAATCAATGCAGAAGACATGTGTCCCAATCGCTGGTGGTGCCCCCCAATCAAACGATTAGAAAATACCAACACACACCAGGAGAGGGGATGGGAGGGGGGGGGGGGAGAGGCGAATAGGCTCTAATAATGATCATGATAGTAATAATAATAATGATAATAATGATAAAAATATATATAATTTTGTGAACCTAGGGAAGCCTCATCAGCTTCAATGCTTTCTACCTGAGGTCCCTGCAGTCGTTAGGCCTATTACCCCATAAATCGCCAGTTACCGATTTACACATTAATGTCTTGCCAAAGGAAATTAGTCCTGGGCTGAGATTCTACCCTTCCACTTATGGATTGAGAGTCATGTAAATGAACCACTATACCAGGATACGTCTACAGACAATGTTAGAACCCCTCTCACTGCCTAGTAGTTTATCTTCTACGATTGATTTTTTTTCGCTCCCCAGACTGTTTGAAGAGTTAAAGCAGCATTTCAACCTTGAACTGGGAATCCCAACATCTGACAAATCTCTCGCCCAAGACCTACCAAAGTGGTTAGCTCTCGCGGGGAGTTACGGTCGGCGAGTGCTCATTGTTCTTGATGCTTTGAATCAACTGGATTCCGGGGCAGGTGGAGAAGGTAATTTCTTCTTCTTCTTCTTCTTCTTCTTCTTCTTCCTCATTTTCTTCGTCTTCTTCCTCTTTTTCTTCTATTATTTCTTCTAATCATCTTCTGCCACCTTCACTCCTGACGATTCATGCAGATGCCCTGAAACTTATCGCAGATGATCTGGAGATTTTTGGAGATACTTGTAAAGTATACTATCTTGTGAAGTTGATATCAGTTATTTTTTTATTTTGATTGTTAATATTTGTCTTTTTTAAAACCTGAAATACTGATCATCCAAGATGGATAGCGCGTTAAAACTCATACTCCTCTGACAATCTAATTTCACCCACGTACCCAACAAAATACCGTACCCCAACCATATGCCCTAACCTAAAAACCCATTTGTAACCATGATAACTGTAACCATAACCCTTTTCTTTCACGAAAGAGCACCTGCAGGGAATGTTGTCGGAAAGAACATAAGTTCATCACCACGATTACTTTAACGAGTGCCTCATTTCATATTAGCCGTTCTGAATAACATTATTGTTGTGATTGACTAAAATCGCTCTCTCTCTCTCTGTATATATATATCCACTTTTTCATTATAACAGGAGATGAACTTGAGTTGAAATGGTTGCCTCGTGAGCTCCCGCCAAACGTTCAAATGCTTCTTTCCACACTGCCGGGAAAGGTAATACTGTATATGAAATCATTATAGAAAATGTGATTATAATATTTTAAGTAAAGTAATTGTCATAAAAAGAAATATGAATATTATTCAGGAAATGTAAGCTTTTTGAGAAACGAACCTTCAGAAAAACTTCGAAATCTCTCTCCCTGCTAATGTTGTCATTAATCAAGTCATTATGACTATCATTACCCTCCACAGGCTTTAGATGCCGTGAAGGCATTTAACTGGCCAGTCTTCCATGTTCAACCATTAGACCAGGCAGAGAAAGGAGAGATAATACGATGTTACATGGAGCTCTATTCTAAGAGTCTCAATGCTGAACAAACAGATATGATTGTTAACGCTAAGCAGACATCTAACGCTCTCTACCTTAGGGCCTTGTTAGATGAGGTAAGTATGTATAATGACTGTTTCCAATTTATTATTAAACAAAGAAGAAAAAGTACAGATAACTGATCAAAACATTTACAGTGTTGATACTATACCAATCAATGGTTTCAATTACGGTTCTGCACATGACAGTGCCCTTTTATCCACTCCGCTGACAATATTCCAGCCAGTCACATTTTTGAAAGAGTGCACATGCTAATCCAATTACATTCACTTTAAATTTCGGTTTAAGTTTCCAGTTTTCTGAGGCTTCGTGCATGAAAGTTGTGATTCATCAATGCCATTATGGCCGGAGGTTACTGTATCTATTATATAGCTGAATCCAGAAAAAGAGGTTTTATTCAAGAATACATAAGAGAATTAACGCGTTATTAAAGGCAGGAATATATACACGGAGTGTAAATTCTCGTGCAAGATTTGTATAGGTCTCTCCATTGGTACAGGGGTTCCTAAACAATGAGATTAGGTCGGTTCTATTGATAGTTGATGGATAAATGTTTGATAAATATATAGAGAGATATCGTGGTCGAGTTGATAAGTCACCGAACTATGGACTACAATACTCGAGGTTCAAATCCCTGCCACAACAATGTTGTCCTTTGGAAAGACATCAATCTTCATTTGCAATTCTCTACTCGGTGAATCGGTGGACTACCCATTTTGTTAGTCATTACGTTAGTAGACACTGTATTTGTGACGATGGTCGAAAAGTCCGTAAGACGTTCCAAAATTTGATAAAGGTGGGAAAATGTAAATCCAACTAAATACTTTGGCAAGATATTAATCTACATTTTCCACTTTCCACCCAGGTGTTAAATGGGTACCGGTAGGAAGGAATTTCTTGAATGCTGTTAGCGTCGAAATCGGCTGCCTAGCAGAGCCGGGTAAAAGTTGGAGCGCCGTGGGCACCATGCATGGTGGATATGTGCGCTAAGTGATTATCCAAGTATCAAAACTATTTGTGTTTGTCCAAGGTTCGTGTGTATGGATCCTTCTACGAGCTCACGGCAGCTATCAAGACCTACTTACAAGCGCGGGATCCGGGACAACTTTTTGTCAAGGTCTTAGAACGACTGGAGTCCGATTTCGAACGCGGAGAACACGGAAGGTAAATGGGGCTGTCATTCTTACCTTTTATGTTCTTCCTTTTCTTTTTAAAGCCCGTCTGTACGAGTTCAGCCAGGGGGATTAGACCACCCAGTGTGGTCACTGGCAAGTGGCTATCTCATCAAATCAGCTCTCAATTAACATAAGAAAAAGAGCTTAGGCATTGTTTTATATATAGAGGGAGCAAGTAGATAGGAGTAGTACAATGGGGATTTAAAGGATGAAAAACTTATCATTTACTAGTAATGAAATTGCCAATTTATTCGCATGCAGCCTCCACTGTTCGTTGCAAAAAAAATCTAATAATACTACCTACTACACAGGATTGTAAAGTTCTGTTTCTCGTCTATGTTTAGATTTGTGCGTGGTTTTCCTGAACGCTGTAATGAGCTTGAGATTCAAGAGTTGCGTGAATATTTCGCGAGCCATTATGAATGACATCGTTACTAGAATTCAGTTATTCAGTATAAAAGCTGTTTGTCAACTTATAACATAGACTACAATACATAGTTTGTTGACAACAAGGCATAGTTATATTTAATGAATATGAGCTCTGATTGTTTGGGTATGATTTTATGCAAATTCCTTCATTTTACATATTTAATGCTTTAAAACATCATTAACTTGCATACGGATGCGTTCGTTAATCTTTCCTTATCATACATAGACCTAACCTGGTTCGTGACACAACTTGCGCTATCTGGTGTAGTAGCAGGGGAATGAGTGAACAGGAACTCATATCGTATCTGCAGGTGAGAAATCCTAGAAAGTACAACAAAGTTCGTTTTCTTGTTCGGCATTCCATACATTTTCTATATTGTGCACCATGACATAAAAAGATGCGGGAGAAAATTGATTTTGAAAAAAATGGTTTTGTGTGAGGTAATAAGTTTGTCAATAACTGTGTAAACTGTATCAAACTCTTTTTGGGAACATTGTCTGGTATATTCTGAATAAGGACGGATAGACAGTCAGATCAAAATCTAGACGCTGTTTTTATCTTTTTCTCTCTATGTTTCTTTTTGTTGTAGGTTCCATCCCGTGTTTGGTCGCCATTCTACCTCTCCCTCGAAGAAAACCTCGTCAATCGGAACGGCATCGTCAACTTCTTTCACGATCATCTACGCCAGGCCGTAGAGCGCAAGTACGTCTCGATCCAGGCAGATAAGAGACGAGGCTTCCTCAAACTCGCCGAGTTCTTCGAGAAACATGACATCAACGAGAGATATGTATGTATAACTAATTAACGATGCATTAGTTCATCATGAAAGGGTATTAATTCTTGTACCTGTAATTCACATGACCAGCATGGCTATCATCAAGGCACGTGACTGTGTAAGGTTTGGAGGTGTCAGATCAAATTCGCAGACAGAGCTGAAAATTGTCATCATAATATTATTTTATAAATATCTTTGAATTGCTGACAGACATTAAGACATGTGATGAGGATTTGAAAAAGAATTGTATTATGAAATCACCATGAATTGATATAAAGAGAATTAAGGAAAAGAAATATAAAATTATAAGCTTAACAATTTTTTAAAATATCCTTCTTATAGTAAAAACTTGATTAAATCTGAAACAGAATACCCTCTATGAAAAATATATAATAATAACATATATATATATATATTTAGGAGGCTATGTCAGTGTTCGATAACGAAATTGCATGACCTGTAACCGAATACTATCCAAAAATACACTGTCTTGAGAGGTTCTGGTTAAAACTATGCGCAAGAGGTGACTCCAATAGTACTATTTGCTGAGGGGTGCAGCCCCGAAGCAAATGGTTACCGAGGCCCATAGTTTTAACCAGTACCTCGAATAGAGGCATGGTATATTTGTTTTATATCCTGCATCAAAAAATTATTTTATAAAAATATTTTAAAACAAATTTTGGGGAAAGAACAAAAATTTAGAACAAAAAAATGTCAATTTTTATCTAAAAAGATTTAAAATATTTTGTTTTCATTAAATTAAGATTTGAGAGAAGAAAAAAATCAATTAAACCCCAAAAAATTCACATTTTTTTTCAACTCCCAAATAGTAAACCCAAATAGTACTCTCATATAGTACTTTCTAAAAATAGTTCAAATATTTCTGGCCATGTGACGAGCTCTCAACCAATCAAAAGCCAACAATTTTTTGATGCAGGATATAATAACAAATATGAGACGATTTTCCAATCCCTTACAGGTGGAGGAGTTACCAACCTTGCTGATGGAGGTGAGTGACCTCTCACGACTCAAGGCGTTGGTGATGATCCCCAAGGCATTCCAACTTCTTATGAAGACATCAGAGGGTAAAGTGCGGCTCATCCAAGCATGGAGAATGGTAAGGGTTATTTCCGTTTGGTCTAATCTCCGTTAAGTCTACTATCCATTTGGTCTATTGCCCATTTAGCTTAATTTCCAGTTGGTCTAATTCCTAGATTATCTAAGGACCATTTTGTCGACTATCCATATGGTCTAATAATCATTTAATCATAAATAATATTTATCATCGAATTATTATTAGACATCATGGATGGTAGTAAAATAGGCATGAGACAAACTGTGAATTAGACAAACTGGAAATTAGACTACATTTTCCTGGCGACTGGCATCATAAACATATAAATCGCAATTCTTAATATTTGTTTAAATGTCAGTATTACGAAAATGCAATGCAAATTATGTTGAACCCTGTCTTAATGGAGTTTTTTGTAACAATATGAAGATCAATGGAGATTCCGAAGACAAATGCACACTCCTCTAATTTCATGCGATTGCTTTGAAAACGCTACAAGGATTATTATTCTTATTTTTTGGTCATATGCACTTGAGAAAAACGTTGACTAACGTAAAAGAAATTGTAACCTAATAAAAAAAAAAAATTGGATTTAAAATCATGAGGTTTCTCTTCTTCATTTGCTAGCGTCAAAACCTTACCGTACCACTACATGGTTTTGATATATAATATATACTGTTTAACTATCGATAAGTACACGAAGCTGAATAACAAGCTTGTTTCCGATCTCCACTATGAATTGTTTGCAAATGTATATTCATAGCATGAGCATTTTTATTCATGATGAGGACCTCAGCTCAATCTATGCTTATGACGACTCTTCTTTTTTTAATATTTTACAATGAAAGATTGTTTGTGCTGAACGTTTGCATATGTATGACGATTTATATGGAAATTAAATGAACATCGAGGTAAATATATATGCCATTTAAAAAGCAAATCATGCACCATTTTATTATTATTGGTATAATTTCCATTTTCTTCTATTTTTTTCCGTTCTGAATACATTACTAAATCAGTATACATCAAAACATACATGGAGATAATATCTATGTATCAAATAATTCAAAAAAGACGTGGCCAGGGCTCCAAGATGAGCAAAGCTTGATGCGTTGTGAGCCCTGACAATTCAGCATCCTCATCACACTTATAATTTTCTATTTAGCTTGGCGGCTTTGAGCAAGCAGGCCAGGCTTACTTGGAATACGTCAACCACTCTAATGCTTTCAAGGAAGTCGAGGAGAAGGAATCCCTTCTAGCTTGTCTTACAGACTTCTTCACAGAGCTGGGTATCCTCAAAATTGCTAGGTATGAAATGTTTGAATTTGATCACATAACAACTCTTTCGGTCATAAAATTCCAAAAGAAATATCCAAAGTGTATGGAAAACTAGACGAAATTCAAAAATTGAAAACATGTCGAAAGAAGATTTTTAGAATTATTAAACAGTTTTTTTTTTTACTTGTGCAATGGTTGTTTGACACTTGCTCCTGGAACAATTGCTCCCCTTTATTTTTTCTACACTACCATAATTCTTGCCTTCAACCCTGGACGCAACAGTATACTTAACACCTATCGTAAAGTTGACCTTAAACCCAATTGCGATCCTATAATCGTAAACCTGCACCTTTGATGAAATAATACCTGGACCAATAAATATTTTCGGAGGAGGCAATGTAGGATCATCGAATATTAAATGATGTAAAAGATCGGATAGGCCTAAACTTTTCGAATTTCACCAATTTCTTCGTTATCAATGTACTTGTATCTACATGCAGGCAATTGAATGAGAGACTTTTGAGTACATTGGAGGACCTTCATGCTAGAAATGACGTTTGTCATGTGACACATCACGTGAGATATGAGACCAAGAGGACAAATAGACATCGTGACGTCATTGAGGTGAATATATTAAAAGGGAAAGATTCGGATTTTGCTTCAAATGAAGTAAATTAATTAACAAAATGCCATGTATTTCAAGTCAGTATCCCTACCTTAAAAACTACGCATATTCATCGCCTAACAATTTACCTGCATCATAATATTATTATGTAACCTGTTCCGGCGATGAATCTTGTGGTATAAAATAACCGTACATTCCAATGATGTTGTCCTTGTTTATTGAAAGAGTATGTAACTATTTTGTCTTTCATGTGATCCACAGTATTCCACAAACAATTGTAGTAAATAATAATATAGCACAGGGCGATCTTTTATGTTAACAGGTCACATGAGCACATTTTCAATAAATAAAACGCTACTACTTTAGGCAAAACTCGGGTCGCTACCTTGTCATAATTCCTTTTGCCATTCCTTATGTCACGATTTCCTTCTTATCTATTTAAATTGGCAGTTGTAGAAACAATTAATGGAACAATACTAATATATTAAGGTTAACATACATCTATATGGGTACATTCTAACTATCATTCATTTCAGAACTTGCTTGAGTTGGGTATAGTGTGTCAGAAGTTAGCAGACTACACTACCGCCGCTGCCTACTTCGAGGACGCCCTCACAAGGCTTGCTCACCCTGACTCCGTTGACCAGCGGCTCCAGATGGTCAAGGCGCTTACTGGTCTCGGGTAAGAGGATCAATCATTTGGCAAAACATTATTGAACACGAATCGCGTTTTCACTGACTGAACTTAGGGCACTTATTTATTGATTGCCAAGTGTTAATCCCATAAATCTATATAAAATTATTGCAATTATGAAACGATATGGATAAATGAAAATGATTTGGTCAGGAACGAAATTTAGGTCATTTCACAATGAGCCTTTTTTGTGAAGGGGTGCTCGTTTTGTTACAAAATTACGATGATTTGCTAAGGACAAATAGCTTGTCGTTTGCCACTCCATAATGGATTAACACTATGCACCTATTATTGGGGGCTAAACCTAAAACTAAGAAGGTCAGGCAACTTTCCAGGAATAAGGGTTTCCTTTTACGTTAGAGCTTGTCGCTATTTGTAAGTCCGACTCAAGTCTCTATACTGTAGTTGAAACCAGTATCTTTGATCTTTTAGAATACTACAAAGCTAGCTGCAATGGATCATCTAACCTTCTATGAGCCACACCGTTTTGCTGAGAGCAATTTTCAACAAATTCTCTCTGTATGCTTTGAAATTTGTAACAAGATTTTTTTTTAAAATATGCCATGTAATAATATGCATAGTTTAAGGTTTTCTCTTTATCTGTCTCTCTCTTCTTTCTTCCTGTATCTCTCCCTCCCTCTCTCTCTTTCTCGTTTTCTGTTTTTCATTTCAGCCAAGTGTCTGGTGTGACATCACAACCCTTTGAAGCTCACCGGTTCGTCTTAAAGGCCATTGAGGTGTGCAACCAGGTTGTACCGGTGAACCATCACTATGTTGCAACCTTGAACGGACTGGTAATTCATCTTTATTCCATAAAAGGTTTTGAGTCATGTACTGTCAAAAGGTTCCAGATATCATAGAAATCAGAAGAGAAAAAATGCTGGAAATGTTATGGAAAGGCAGGGAATGCGATAAAATTCTCTTGAATCGGATTATTAAAAAAATATGGGATTTTATCAACAATATGTGATATGTTTATATGGCTGGAGCTAAACAGGGGTTTTACCATGGCATATCATAGCCTTAAATTTTAGATTCTTATGACAACTCTGTTTTCCTAATACAAAAGTTAACTTACGGCCCTGTTCAGATACATATTTTATGAAACTATATATTTAATTATTAATATTTGAGTAAACGCCGCCTCCTTTACTATTTTTTGGATTGAACCTTACTAGACTGGAGAGTTATATCAGAAGCAAGGCAGAGCGACAGAGGCCTTGCAATACCATATTCTCGACATTGTAGAGACACAGCGCACTGCGGGGCTGGGGAAACCAAGAGTGGCGACAATCTTGAATAACATTGGCTTGGCTCTGATGGAGCTAGATCCAACTATAGAGGACGCCCTACCATTCTTGGTTGAGGCCTTGGCGATACTCATTGATGCATATGGACCAGAACATGTCGACGTCGCATCTATCAGGTATTTAGCATTCTTAAAGGCATTTTTGAAAGTATACTTTAGGTATATATCTGAAAGATGAAAACGTGAAAAACAAAGATTTCTTTTCTTTAAATGTTCTTTCAAATCAACCATGTCCTTCCCTCTCTCTCTCTCTCTCTCCCTCTCTTTCATTATCACTAATCTGTAGTGCTATTTGATAACACAAATTCAAGTTGTAAGATCACTATATGAGTGAAATTATTGAATTGTACGGGTTTCCCCATACCTATCTAGATAGTCTACAAATTTGTCTATCTTCCAGTGTTATGTTACGGCAAAACAGTGTTTTGTATTTATTTTATCATACGGCAGTCTTTCTACTTCTTCTTCCATCTCTCTACACTCCATAAAAAAAAATGAAATTGGAAGTTGGGAAGAGTCTCCAAAAAGATGTTTATCAAAATAATTTCAGGCAACTTTCATTCCTATAAATAGCAAAGAATATCGTCTTTCAATTGACACCAAACAACCCGATGCCTTTTGAAATACTTTTGTAGTTGGACTTTGGAAGCAATCCGCCGTTTTTAAGACTCGCTGTATATCTCAGATTCACATACCCATCTAATCTCTTGAATTGATCCCTTTTCTACATACCCCTCTCTGTGTCTTTCTGACACACATGCACACACAAACTCACAAGCACACCCACATCTTATCTTGTCTTCACCATTCTCAGATTATCTGTTTAAAAAAAAATCTATTAGTTTAATCGTTCTACTGCATTTCCAGAATCAATCTCGTAGCTTAATACTTCTTCAATAATAAGCTGAACAAGTATTCACTCTACTCATTGTTCTTTCTCTCTCCCTCTCATTGATTTTTTGCTACTTGTTTTGATTGCTGTGATTATCCAGAATCAACCTCGCAGCCTACTTCTTCAATGCTAAGCTGTATAAGTATTCCCTCTACCAGTACAATAGAGCTTTCGAGGTCTTCAAGGTTTATCTCGGTCCCCTTCATCCGAAATCACAGGAAGTTCGGCAAGGCCAAAAAGAGTCGAGACCATTCACTTTGGTGCAATGAAAATCTTTCCATGTTGACGTCAGAGACGTTGGAGCATTTCAATTGGCCATGGGACGTTTTATAAAGTTCTGCCGGAGACATAATATTTATTCACTAAATGCTTGTTTTGTTTTACTAATGATGTATTGCGAATGAATTTAAATTCATATTGGACAAAGTGAAACAAGAAAATACTTTAAAATGAGGTATTCAAATCAATTATCTGATTGGTACACGTCTATAAAAACCTAATTAAACACACACACACACACACACACACACACACACTTGCACAGCATGTGTTAGAATTGTGTACTTGTCTATATTGGTTTCCTTCCCATAGCTTGTTTTTCTCTTGGTATTTTTTTGAAATACCCCTTCTTTTAAAATTCCTCTTCCCATTATCGCCCAATACACAACAAAAACCTTCACACTTCATTGAGTTGCCTTTTATAAATGATTGAAATGAGAATGACATGACGAGAACTACAGAAGAGAAGCAACAAAGACGAACATATAAATGAGAGATTGTTTATATGAGATCAAACAAATTTAATATCGGAATAAGATGTGCTTCTTACACTACGTTAAAAGAATTGAAAACGAATGGGGCTGAATGAAAATCGATACTTAATATTAATTCAAGATTATTTCATCATCAATTTGTGTCTGTTTACAATTAATGACTAGCAGATTGACTGTTACTGATATGCTAGAATGCAAGAACTGTGTTCGTAAAATATCTATCTCTATATTTCCCTACATTATACTCTCTTCTCTGAAATACGTTTTCTACAATACATCAATGATGGTAATATATAATAATTCTAATAACAATATGAGCAATGATAATGTTTAATGATAATGTTTGTGAAACACATGGTTTCAATATTAATATGTACAAGGCGCAAAGGAAAAAAATAGTTGTATTTGTCTCTTTTTCTGCCTCTTTCCTAAATACATGAATAAAATTCACTGCATCAATCTTGCAGCCTACTTCTTCAATGCTAAACTGTACAAGTATTCCCTCTACCAGAACAAGAAAGCTTTCGAGTTCGACGAACAACATGTAAACGAGAGATTGTTTATATGAGATAAAAACAATTCAATATGAATAAGATGTGCCTCTTTCACTACGTTAAAAGAATTGAAAACGAATGGGGTTAAATGAAAATCGATACTTAATGTGGATTCAAGATTATTCCATCATCAATTTGTGTCTGTTTACAATTAATGACTAGCAGATTGACTGTTACTGATATGCTAGAATGCAAGAACTGTGTTCGTAAGATATCTATCTCTATATTTCCCTACATTATACTCTCTTCTCTGAAATACGTTTTCTACAATACATCAATGATGGTAATATATAATAATTCTAAAAACAATATGAGCAATGATAATGTTTAATGATAATGTTTGTGAAACACATGGTTTCAATATTAATATGTACAAGGCGCAAAGGAAAAAAATGTGCCTCTTACACTACGTTATAAGATTTGAAAACGAATGGGGTTAAATGAAAATCGATACTTAATGTGGATTCAAGATTATTTCATCCTCAATGTGTGTCTGTTTACAATTGATGATGGTAGATTCACTTTAACTTTATATGCAAAAATGCGAGAACTGTTTTTGAAAGATTTAATTTTATATCTTCCTACATATACTTTCTTCCTACATATACTCTCTTCTCTGAAGTACGTGTTCTACAAAACATTAATGATGCTTATATAATACTAATAACATTAACAGTATGAGCTAATGAGTTAATTTGAAAGTATTGTACACTATCCTTCCATCCAAACATGATCTATGCAGATGGCGTATAATGGACAATGACCAGTGTGATATATGTTAAGAAACAGAAACAAACTTTGCACGCTTTTTTGAAATGTAATAAGGTTCGATTTCCTTGGAAAATTATTTTATAATTACTTTCATGAGAAAATAAATATTAATGAAAAATCACTAGTTATAGGTTTAAATTTTGTAATAAACTTAAATTAAACTTTAGGCTAATTCATAATATGCATACTGTATATCCAAATTCTCTATGATGGTAGAGAGTATAATAGTAAAAGTCTCTTTATTAATTTCAAATAAAAACTACGATATTACATAGTAAATAAGCAAAGTTTCTTTTATTGACAAAACAAAAATAAATTTATTCCTGAAACTTTTAGGATGTAACCATTCGATTAATTACTTTTGTCTTTTATATTATATCATGTAAAATGTCAATTGCTGTAAATATATGTGATGATCAGTATGTCAAATGCATATTCTAAACAGACGTAAGAAAGAGCAAAGTGCTTATTCCTCGAATAAACCCTCGAAAATGTAGGATAAATTTCTATTTAAGTGAATATGTGTGAACACTCATTACAGCAACACGGCGTAACTCCCCTAATATTAAACTGATACTAAAAATGAGTAACACTGTTTTGAGGGAGTTGAAATATGTGTCTTTATCAAAGTAAAAAAAAGCTGAGAAGCTATCTGTGATAAGATACAAAATATAAAGTGCGTTGCTCTACGAAACCCCACGGTAAACCGGCACGTTCTTATGACAGGCGTTCGTTAATTACGTCGGACGAAGCTTCATCTCCGTCTTCTTGAGGGAGTATGTATAACCGAGCCAGTGATACCATACCACACCCTTGGCGTACGTCCCTGTTAGACCATTCAGGTATTGGCCGTTGAGGTTAGCACGAAGGCAATCATTGTACCACCAGCCTCCTTTGAAATAACCGGCGCAGTTTCCCTCATCGCGGCCGTTCCATGTAGAGAACTGATTGCCTGCATGATACGACATACTGTTACCTGCATATAAATGAGAAATTGATTTATAGTAAACACATGATATAAATTAGTTCAATAAACGATCTCTCCTTACTCGACTAGAGGCTGTGTGTTTGTATTGTACAGACGGATGCGTTTAGGAGCAATCGTTAGTTAGCATGCTATCCTTTTACGGGTTAAAGAAAATAAACAAACAATACAAAAACACTAACACAATACGCCACTGTTGTTTTCTGCGTTATATGTGCGAGAGCATTTGATGGTTTATACCGTATTATCGTAATAACGTACAGTATACTGTAGAAACGAATTACGGTATTACCCTGTGACATTATTAACATATAACCGTTTTTATCGTGTTACCGTATGCCTCTATGATTGTATTACCATAGGGCCTTTGGCCGTATTACAATGAACCATATTACCGAATTACTGTATTACTGTATTTGCCGTTTTACTGCATTAACCTACTGTACAACTATTACCATCTTACCATAAAACATATCCTGTCGTAGCCTGTAAGCTATGGTCACAACCCCCAAAAGTAGCCTGGTCGGCGGCCGGGCGGAAAGTTTTTAGCCAATTTCGCCTGGTCACCCAGCGGCGGCCGTCCGGGCACCGCTTGTTTTTAGGGCATCGCTCGGTCGCCGCTAAAGTGACTCTCACACTCTGCCGTGTAGGCCTACCGTGTGCCACCATGCGCGAAAATGTCTGCGGACGGTGGAGAACGGCGAGGGCACACGGTGGTTCGTTATCAAAGCGGGCAACACGTTAATAGGGCGTTGGCGCTTATTTACACCCGGTGGGACCCGGCGAAAGTTTTGGGCATGTTCAAAACTTTGGCCGGCTGGCACCGGCCGCAAGTAAGCGGCAAGAGGACGGTGTTCAACGGTATGAGGAAGGTATGAATACGTTATGAAAACGGTCACACTGTATGAACACGTTCACAACACGCTCATAACCCGTTACAGAGCGGTGATGAACGGGCAAAAAAAAAATCCACCGTCTGCAACGGGTTGTAAGCGGGTTGTGAACGTGTCATGAACGTGTTGATACCGTGCCACCGTCTTCATAACGTATTCATACCGTCCTCATTACAGTGTTCATACCGGACTGCCAACGGGTGTTTACAAAGCGGTACCGCCTGATTCTGACGGCGCCGCCTCCCTAACGCATGGGTAACATCCTGTTAACGCCTTGACGTTCCCATAACGTCCTATAACGGGTCCATAACGTGTCCTTACCTTCACAGTAGCGTCATATGAACGTGCCATTACCAACAAATTTACTTTTGTCACCGTGTGCCACCGTTTGTCACTAATTATTGGGTATATAGAGGGGTTTCGTCAGATGAGCTTTACTTTTTCTTGTGTACATGGTCGTATGAGTCGGTGACCAACTGACCAACTGACCATGGATTGTCCTGACAGGGTCCGACTCATGTACATGTTGGCTATTGCCCAGCGTGAGCGTGATGAGTTGGACCTAGACGTCAATGACCACATTGTCAGGAGAAATCAGAGAAGGGCTTACCCTTCTTGAGTGGCATAATGCAGTAAATATGTGATCAAAAGATGGGGAGAAGTGTCATAGAGTTTCCTTGAAGAAAAATGGAGAGCGGACTGACCGTTGCCGTTCAAATCGGGGTATTTATGGCAGTCGTGTCATGACGTCAGCAGTCCGGGGACTCGCTCACAGGACGCTCCGAGCGGTGAGGGGACGCTAAGTGACTGGTAGGTGGCTGCTACAAACCCGGTGCACACGTTCGAGACCCGGTATGGGTAATTTTCAACAAAAGTCAATCTGGGCGGTGAAGACGGTAGAAGCACGTTCAACACCCGGTATGCGCCTGGTGAGAACGGTCAGAAGATGGCAACGAAACGGTGAAAAGATTAATTTTATGAATTTTTTTTTGCGGCCGGGGACAAGTTCGCTCAAAACCCAACGTTCTGGACTCTGTTGTTTTTTAATAGCCCGGCAGGTGGACGGTAGGCCTACACGGCAGAGTGTGAGAGCTCCATAAGGTTTTAAAATTCAGCAGCGCCTGCTCACTTTTCACTCGCCGCCCAAAATACGCTTGGTGCCCGGGCGGACGCCGCCAAGGCACCGACCTAATCGAGCATTCACCGTCGAGCGATTTAGGTCAAAAATCGAAACCGCTAGGTCTTTTCTTAGCCGGTGGCCGGTGGGAGATCACTCAGGAATCGGTCGGTCATCAGTCGGTCACTGCCAGGACGCCGCCCGGAGAAGCTCCCCGATTTTGCCCAGTATTGACACAAAATCGACCGGCGACCAACGGGAAAATGACAGTGGACCGCTCAGGCATCGCTGAGGCTTTACAGTCTGCTCGACTTCTCCAAAAATCGTAGGGCGATGCCTAATTTCCAGCGGCGACCGAGCAGGCTACAAATCGGTCGGTCGCCGCTCTGAAATGTGACCATAGCTTTGCCGTACCTATTGGCTGATTCCGTGCATTGTAATGTGGCCAAAACAACACCCCCCCCCCCATTTATTTCCTGTACACAAGATAAGAAAAAACAAACGCCTTAATTGATTCGACTCTTTAATAACGTTAGCGATACCACGAGGAACCATATTTTTGAATAGCATCATGCACACGACACATTACACGGGGTCGCCCTATGAAATACCTGCGTCTCCGAAGTAGTTGCCAAGGGCCAGGGTGTAATATGCGGCCTCGTCTGCAATACTGAAATTGCTGTAGGTGGCATAGCGCGTTCGTCTATCGAAGTCTTCGAGGTCGATCCGTAGCTCGTAGGTCTTATTACGGGAAAGGCGGTGGATGTTGTCGTTACCAAGCCAGTGCTCGGAGGAAACGTTACCAAAACCGTATTTGTATTCGGACCAGGAGAGAAAGAAGTCAACTGAACCATCCTGTCTACGCTGGAAGACCTACATAGAGAGAGAGACAGAGAGAGAGAGAGAGAGGGGGGGGGGGAAAGAAAGATGTCGTGAGAAAGGGAGAAGGGGAGAGAGAGAGAGGGGAGGGAGAAAGAGTGAGCGTGTGTGTGTGTGTGTGTGTGTGTGGGTGTGTATTCATATGTAAGTCAGAACATTAATACTTGAGAGAGGAAGGATGGAAGATGCAATGTTCATGGAATTACTTTTTAAAAGTGTAGCAACACTGGTTCTGGGCCAAGAAGAATGCGATGGTAAAGGGTTTTAAAAAATATACCAAATAAATATCAATAACCAATATCGATTCTTTTCAACATGAGTGCCCTTCCATTTAACCCAGCAATCATCAGGTACCCGTTGACACCAGGGTGGAGAGTGAAAAATGTTGATGAATAAAATGAAATATATGGTTTATATTGCCCTAGAGTTGATTCTTATCACAATACACTTTTGAAAATTCAATTCAATTCAATTTATTTTCTTCGGATAACGGAAAACCTCATTGAAATATTCGCGTATTTCAATAGGTGACGCACAGGGCAAGGTTCATTGGCGAAAATAGTTGTTTCTTGAAAGTCTTTGCGATCATGTTAATAGTGAATGGGGTCGATATAAAATAAAATGCTAGCTATCATCATTTCTCACCGTCCAGCGGCCACCGTCCGTTTCCATATCGCAGTAAACAAAGAGAGGATCATCACCAACTCCATCGGGATAGATGGGATACACTCCGCTGAGATGGGATAGTCCACCAGTCTGTATCTCAGCGCAGTCACGCGGGAGTCTAGGTACTGATAGGAAACACAAAGGTGGTGTAGTTGAGAGAACTGAATTTCAGAGGACCGGCCTCTCACAGGAAAAGGTCACGGATTGCTTGCTTGATACTTACATTTTATTCCCTGGACATATTGGGAGATATTATGACTTGCATGTGAAATCAGCCATGTATTCTACAAGGTGTAATAAATGGGCACCTGACTGGCTCTAAGGAAAGACCCTCTTGAATCTTGTGAGCCAAAAACAATTTTACACCTTGAAAAAAGCATCCCGTTTCATTGTGTTACTGTGAATGTAATCAACTTTGGCGCAGGTCGATTTCTGTACTCTCGCAAACAATGCCTCCTGTTCATCCAAGCGTGAACACATACCACACAGAATAATACTAAATGATTCGGGATGAACAATCTTTCATAAGATGTATAATAATTTACTGTTCGTAGATGAGTTTTAAAATAATTGGCAATTCTTTAGGTGTAAACCTTTGTTTGGACTCAAACTGTATAGTGCAAAAAAAGATAAGGGCTATAAAGTGTGAGTCAGTAATTCCAAAGGACCCTTAACATATAATTTTACTCATTTTGTGGCAATTCCTGAATATGTCACTCTCTAATGGTGCGTCAAACATCGCACTTATCACCGATACAGCCATGCGTTAGCAGAATGACGCTTCGTGTGCAAGAGGCATGAAGCGGTTTTAACGCCGGACGTTGAACGGAAGTGTCATTCGCCTGACGTAGGACTGCGTTAACGACCCGTGTCGTCTTTGACGCGTCGTATGAGGGTGACACCGCATAGACAATAATACTTATAGATTAATAGCCATCACAGATTTGATAAAAATAACACAATCCTACGCCAAGAAATTAAGACCTCGTGTGCAACGGGAATGATATGAAAAGCTCACCGTCCGTGGCGGTGACTTGCGTCATTTCGGCCGGTATGATCGTAGACATGTCCGTGAAGTCAGTCATAACTGAGATTGACTCTATCGAGACACAAGATTCATAGAAAGCATTTAATAATAATAATGATGATCATAATGATAATAATAATACAAATCACGATCATAATACGAAGAAGAAGGAAAACAAAAACAAGAAGAAAGAGAAGAATAATAACAAACCAATTATGGCCTTTAGGTGGGGGGGGGGGGGGGTTATTGAGGATACCTAGGGGGCACCTAATGTATTATGTTCACGAAATTTGAATATAAAAGGCCGCCTGTTGGCAGTGATTATTCTGAAATGCAAAAGGTGCGATTTCTCCTTGTATACAAATATATCGTCGGCCTTGTGCCAAAAGGGCCTTAACCCGATTTTGGGGTTTATTGAGTTATTAACATCACCTTGTAGATTTCAACATTCTCTTTAAAATGATGTGCTTCACTTGTTGAAATTTGATTTATTTATGAAGATAATTATGAATTTCTAAAGGGCCTTAACGCGTATCTCATCTTTTTTCTTACGCCAAAAGGGCCTTAACCTACACGGCAAATCTTTTATCAATGATAGATTATTTCGTAATTTCAATTTAATTCAATAAATATCAGTAGAAACACCATTAAAAACATGATTCGTCTACAATAGACACAATGTACTTAAAATAATCACTGAAAGTATATGTCATGAATTTAGATCATGAAATCTGAGTGAGATTTAAATTAGGTGTGGATGCATGAAATGCGACCGACTCGTTGAAATACGCAGATGCCAACGTATGGGACTGTGATGAAAATAAACAACGAAAAAGGTGTCCTAAATGTACGATCTCTAAAAAATAACTTTACCGGAAGCTGCATTATATTAATAAAAATATTCAGATATCAAAAATACTTTTTCTATTTTTTTAATTAATCAGTTTTATCAGTTTTCGTAAACCAGTAGCCGTAGGAGAGGCTTTCTGGCAAACCAAAGGTGTTGCGAAACAAGAAAATTTCTTTATGCCAGAAGGGCGCTAACTATGCGCGCGTACAATAACGGCAGGTTAAGGCCCTTTTGGCATAACGCCGCGTGGGTTACGCCCCTTTTGGCATAATGCCGAGTAGGTTACGGCCCTTCTGGCATAAATACGCTACATTCAAGCCTTATGCCAAAAAGGCCCTAACATGTTTTTTGCACATAGCATGTAAAATTCTGAATATCATGTAAAATGTCTTTAAGCGCTTTACAGATATACTATACCCCTCCACAAATTAATCAAGTAGAATTCCAATGATCTCTACTTCCCCACCCACCTGAATTCAAAGGAATTAGGCCCACTTGGAATGTTTTGCTTTCCTTATCGCTTTTTATCGCCGACAATAAACAAAATTTCAACTTGGTGATGGAAATCTTATTTGCCATTTTTGTCTCATAAACCTTTGTTTCTAATCATTAAAAAAAAGGTATTTTTATCGGAAAGGATACAGGATATAGAGCTATTTGCCTCTCTCTCTCCCCCCCCCCCTCTCTCTCTACCTACCTATGCTTTGTTTCTCCCCAGCATTTCACGCCTAAACGTACAAATTATGTATATAATATTAGACCACAACACCTCCACTGACATTTTATGAAACCTTCAACTGTGGAATTTCATATGATATGAGCCATGTTCAGACGGGGTTTTGCTAGTCGGCGTATTTCATCCCTGCAGCAGTAAATACCTCATTTTTTATTAACTTGCCAACACTAAGTTAACACGACCTTCCACCAACCAGCGTAACTTATGTGAGTGGCGGCGCCCGCACTAGTCGACCTTAACCCGCCTTCCGCATCTAAACCGTGCGAAATCTAATTTTCATTTTCAATTGCAACAAACATCCCTCGTGAAAAGACACAGATACCCGGGTGTAGGTGAGAGCATCCACACGGTAAACTTATGCTACCCTCTAGTCGTGTTAGCGAATTACTCCTGGATATATCCAGGAGTAAATAGGACGGGGGTAAAGGTAGGCGTAGCTAACACGACCTTCGTTCAGACGGTCACTACTCCGACCTTTACACCTACCTCATCATATTTATCCCGAATAGCTCTTAACACGACCTTTACCCCGGGGTAAATTGCCTCCGTCTGAATAAAACTATAGAACATTTTGATCCATGCTAATTCCATGATGTTTGAAGAAAAAAAATTTAAAAAAAAGATACACTCTCTTTGTATAGGGATTTATCAAGGGAAAGGGGGGACAAAGCGAGAAGGCGAAACAAAAATTCCCGTTCTTAAACAAAAAAAATATATTAAAAAAATAAATAATCGAAAACCAGCTAAATGCCCTCATCTTTCCTTGAGTTCACTTATGTTCTTTCTATCTGACAACAGTTTCATACGACGTATCTTCCGAATCAGGGCTCTTTCTTTTAACCTCAAGATACCTTCTTCTACTTTTTGCACATTTAAACTTTCTGAACCATATACAATCGTTACTATTAGGTCTACCGATATGATATTGCTCAAAACCCACATGACATTTAGAGAATAGAAAAGTTCACAACATATTCTAATTATGTTTTTAAAACCTTTATCAGAACTCAATTCGTTGATGTATTGTTCTTACGCTCATTGCAATGTTTCCCTTGAAAACCAGGTGAACAGTGGCATCGATAGCTTTCCATAGTCTCCTCGCACCAGCCGTTTTCACAGAGCTTCTTGTCACAATCTATTAAAGAAAAAGGAAAGAAACTTAGTTTATGTGTGTGTGAGCGTGATTATGTGTCTTTGTGCGTGCGTATATGTGTGTGTGTGTTTATGCGTATGTCTATGAGACGGGTGAGCATGTTTTGGTCTTGCTTTTTGATTGCATACTCAATCAAACTGAAAACCTATGACTTATGAACTGTACGGAAATGGAAATATGAACCTGCCAGCTTTCAACGGTATAAGTATCTTTTTATATTCTCGTTCTCATTATCATGTTATCAGTAAATGCACATGTACTTATACTTGAATAAAATCAATCTATCAATCATTCATTCATTCATTCAATTTTCACGTCCATAAGGTTCAGGCCTAGGCCTCATAGTTCATATCAGGAGACTTACCCCCTGTGCAATCATCCCTAACAGAACCCCCAACATGAGGTTTGCAAGGAAACGGGTTAATTCATTGAGAATATGAGTTTGATGGTTATGGAAAAGAAGTTACGACCACGTAAACCAGCGCTTCTCAAAGTTTTATTACACTCGAGGCCCACAATTTGCTCTGTACTAGAGAATGCTCAATTATTAAAATATCCCCTGTATGGAAAAATGTATCCGGCCATGAACAAAGAAGAAAAAAGAAGAAAAAATCTTCTGTACAGAGCATATTAGGGAGGAACTCGTTAGAGCCGTCACAGTGTTACCAATTTGTGTTTGGTTCGTCGCAACTTCGAAAATTCATAACTTTGTTATCTTTAAAGGCATCGTTTAACAATGTTAAATCTGAGATGCACGGCCCTACGTGCCATTAGTGTTTGTGATATGGTGTAATATTGAAACCCTAACAAAAATGCGCTTCAAAATGATCATGATATTCCTCAAAAAAGTAAAAAAATCTTTGAGTAACCGGTTTTACAATACTCATTTTCCCCAATAGACTGTTACAGTAGTGTTATGAAAACCGTTAGGAAAACGCAAAATTTAATTTCGATTTCCAATCATAAATATCTTGATAATCAGACAGACGATCGGCTTGTAAATGTCATGGAATTCATGTATGTTCTAAAGGTTTACAACTATGAATGCAGCATGAGCTATTTCAATTTTGTTTTAAAAGGAACTTAGACAAAGTCACCGCATCCCTTTAATCGAAATTTGCTCAAATTTTCACTGACCGGTTTCCAAATTTTCATTGAAAGTAATTTATTAAAATAATGGATATGATTTATTCCTAATAGATCTAGATAAAAGTATACATTCTCAGATTTTATTGAATAATAATTTGCCATTGTATGTTTTGCGGGACTGCTGAATCATGTGTATGCTACTATGCTTATCGACTAGGGGACCTACGCCATTAAGGCATAAATGACAGTAATGAGGATTAATGCCCCACAAAAGAGCACTCATTTTCGAAATTATGGACCTTTTGTAGAAAAAAAACCAAAGACTGGACAGCCCAAACGTTAGGGAGTTGTATACCCTATTTCATTGTTGGGATAATAAACCATCGGGAATGGAATTTGGCATTCCTATTCCGGAAATATGAACCTTCATATAATTTAACTTCGGAAAACGAGTGCCCTCATATTAACTAACGCCTACTTTTGTGTTACAAAGGGTGGGGTCTAAATGATTACCAGGAAAATCGCATGTTCTGTATCCGGGAAGGATTCCTAACTTTCCTTTCCGTCTAGGGCAACCGTTAGCCACCGTGGGAACAGGGATGAGCTTCGGAATCGTCTGTACCATACTGCCGTTGGTGTGTTGCTTCTGCAGACACTCGTTGAACATTGGTAAGGTGTAGTTGAGCCCAAACGCGTTCTTGTGGCAGGTTTGTGTCATTTCAATTGCATCTAATGGCGCGGGTAAACCTGTGTGCCAGAAAGATGATGATGATAATGATGTTGACCATGATAGTGGTATGATAATAGTGATGATGATGATGACGTTGATGGTGATGATGACTATGTTAATACGAACACCACCACCAACAATAACTTAAACCTAATATTAATAATGATGATAATGACAATTAAATAATAATAACAATAAGAAGTAGAATGATAACCAAACGATTTTTTTTTTATTTTTGCACGGGGATATTGAGGTAGGGAGGGGGGGGGGGGGGGTGGGGCACTGACATTAGAGAACTAGGGGCACCAATCGCATTATCTTCATGATATTCGAAAATACAAGGCTACCTTTTGTGGATGAAAGTGGTTATATCACCTTCTTTTTTTCATGTTCTTCCCCTCTCCCTCCCTTTTTATTTCCAGGATGCGTCACATGTGCCCCCTTGGATAGTAAAGCCACCGCATGTTACAATGCTCTTTTTCATCTAGAATCTTATTTATCTAAGCCTCCATATAAAATTTATTCTTAAATAAATATAAACAAACATCTGTATTAAAAACATAAACACCACATATATGGAAATAAGGTCTAGAGTGTATTTGAATTGATAAGTCTGAGACGAAAAAACAAAAGGCCTGAATACAAAGGAAAATAATAAATTCCGTTGAGGAATAATCATGAATTTTAAGCATATTAAAAGGTTCGGTAAAAACGTAGAAAACAGTTATTTAAGTAGGGTTGCAATAGGGTTTAATATCTTATGTTAAGGAGTAGGGTACATACCAGTAGTAAGGAAGATCACCGTGCCAAATATGCACTTCCAATGAAGCTTTAGTTTTATACTGGTCTGTAATTAGAAACAGGTTAGTATCTATGTTGTTTATCTTATCATAGATCATCTTGACTAGCATGCAGATTTAGGACGTTACGTGCCTCCCTTTCAACCCAAGTGGGATCGGCCTACCTTAATTACACAACTTTCAGAATGTGCCCAGCCCCTTTTTGTGGGGATGATACTTTTACTGTTTTTTATTTTGCTTTTGTCAGACGATATTGGACTGCTGCTCATAGAAAGGCGGTCCTTGTATACAAGCACATACTCTAATTTGCCACTTTACCACAGCCCAATAAAGCCCTGAGCAGACTTTAGTACTTAGAGTCAATGGCTGTTTCAAACAGGGAGCAGTCTATGCAAAATGCCGTCAACATAGTCTCAGAGTGCAGACACTGGTAGGCACAGTAAATGACATGACTTTGTGCCTGTAAAGTTGTAAACTACGGCGGTTCTGTGACCAGTTATATGGCTGACTATTGATATACGTGGTATTCTGCCGGAACTAATCTGAAGTTAACAAAAATATAAAAGCATTAGCTTTTCATAAATTGTACGCCTAACAATCGTGAAATCTAGACTTCAAGCTTTTTCTGCATGATGGACAGCAGCTTTTGCAATGTAACCCAATTTTGTAAAGAATGAATACTTTTAGAAACATCATTATGATTATTATTCACACGAAATAGACCATATGGTCATGTATATATACAAACATTTTCCTTTTTGGCCGTCAGTTATTACCATTTTTGTGAATCCTCAGTCATGGAGTCCTTCACGTCAGGATCATGATGCGCAATGAAACACTGTTCTACCCGAGTGTGACTATTCTCACATTTGAATTTAGTCCAGGAATCAGCTAGGTTGCGAACACAAAGCAACGTACGCATTACGTTTTGCGTCGCGTAGCAGCAGTAGGCACGGATCACGTGAACCCCTCATGATGGTCTTAATTGCATGTTCTCTCACATCTCAGAGTAAGACGATGTTTCCACTCCCCTCCCCCACCACAGTGCTTTTTTAAAGTTTAGTATTGGATTCATGGAGACGAAAGAAATATGACCCAGACTAAGCTAGACAACGTATTGCAAAGAATAAAATATCTAAGGAGGTTTAAAACGATGTCGTTTACCATCGTTTACGTAGCATAAGTACTTCAAATAAAATTTAATGATTATTGCTTCGACATTATATTATTCTTAATAAAATGTTTACAAGTCGAGGCGCCGCTCATAAAATTTCAAAATAAGGTTAAACATACATTAAATGCAAGAGTAATTCTTAAGTGCTTCAGTACCAATACTTTCATTCACCTGTTTTACGAATGAATGTGTTTTAATACTGAGAATGCGATTTGCATATATTAAGTTTTGTTAGGTAAGGTAACCCATACCTTTTCTCCCACCTAGCTACATCACCGTCTAGTATTTAGTTTATATTCTTCGATTTATCTTTCTCGCTCCCCAGAGAGCAAGATTGAAGAGTTGAAGCAGCATTACAATCTTGAACTGGGTCATTGTTAAAGGTAACACAAAGTTTTGGTATGGGGTCATGAATTTGGTTCAAATGAACATATTGGACGCATATGCGGTTCTTCAATATTCAGTGATCGTTGTCGCGGTTGAAATCGAGTCCAAAGTTATGAAATTGTAAATGATAAACTCTTTACGTTGTATAGCTCCCTCTCAAGGTCAAGATATAAATCAAAGCATACAAGAATATTCTTGACTAAAATCTACCGATTAGTTGTTCCTGTTCGGAAATTATATATCACAACTACATATTCTGAAATTTTCATGGTCGCAGCTACCATTGTACGGCCGTAAGCGCTATTTGAAATTCATCAAAATTTACCGGGAGCACCGGTAAATTCTTATATTCAATATTTCTCGAAAGCAAAAGTACTTTAGGGGCTAAATTTTCTATTGCTTAAAATACATCCACAGGGGCATCCAAATATATTAAAATTGTAAAGAATCACTATCCACCCAATTTCCAAATTTTCCCAAAACTTTGTATTACCTTTAAGTGCCTCATTTCAAAATATTTCCTTCACCTGTTTTACGAATATTTTTTTTTCTCAATATTCAGGATTCGAATTACACACATTACGTGTTGTTAGGTAAGGTAACCCATACCTTTTCTCCCACCTAGCAACATAAATGATATGATTGTTAATAATGCTCAGCAGACATCTTACTCTTTATACCTTAGGACCTTGTAAGATGAGGTGGGTTTATAATTACTGTTTCCAATGTATTATTTGAAAAGAGAAGAAATAAAAATAATTAACCGATCAAAGCATTTGCAGCATTGAAACTATACCAGTCACTGGTTTCAATTACGGTTCTGCACTTAACGGTGCCTTCTCTCCACTCCGCCGAAAATATATCAGCCAGTCACATTTTTGAAAAAATCCCAGTCAGAGCGTGCACATGATAATACAATTACATTGACTTTGGATTTCGGTTTGCGTATCCTGTTTTCTTAGCTAAGGCTGTGTGCATGAGAGTTGAGTTTCACCAGTGCAAGTTCTAAATGAGTGATTCTGATGATCAGATCAGATGGATGACGAACTGTTTTACATGATTTTACCAGTTCAAGAATAAATTATTTGTATGATCAGCTATCGCGTGACTGAATGATGTGAGAAGTGGTAGTATGATCTATTCATGTAATTGTATTATCCTTTTATTAAAAATTCTCGCTATCACTTTTTATTTCTTGCTAGCCACCCCCTTGCCATTATGACAGGAGGTACTGTAGTTACATCCTTTAGAAGCTGAATCCAGAAAACCTTAGACAATCGTCTTCAAGATTACATAAAAGAGTTAACACGTTATGAATAGCAGGAATATCTACACGGAGTGCAAGTTCTCGTGGCAGATTTGTTATAAGTCTGTTCATTGTGACAGGGGTTCCCCATCAACGAGAGAAGGTCGGCTCTGTTGATAGTTGACAAATATATAGAGATATATCGTGGTCGTGTTGATAATTCACCGAGCTATGTACTACAATGCTCGGTGTTTAAATCCATGCCACATAACACTGTTGCCATTTGGGAAGACACCAATCTTCATTTGCGTTTCTCCAACGCAGTGAAAAGTTGAATCCAGAAAACCCTAGACAATCGTCTTCAAGATTACATAAGCCACATTCAGACGGGGTTTTGCTAGTCGGCGTAAGTTAATCCCTGCAGCAGACCAAACGGCGATTCACCTCTTAGATTAGGGCTAGTCACATGTGGGGTGTGTGTCGTAGTCGAGTGGTATAAGCACTTAACTGGAGATTCAAAGGTTGTTATTTTAAGCCCTGATCCGACATCATAGTATCCTATAGTAAGGCATTAATATACTTTTGCCACTCTTTACTAGGATGTTAAATGGGTTCCGGTAGATAGGAATTCATGCAATTCTATATAAAGCATCTATAACCGGTGGTTACACTCCATCAGCCGGGTGATATTGGAGGATATGAGCGTTGTGAAAATAAAAGAATTTGGAAAAAAGTCTCCCAAACGATATATATATCAAAATAATCAGAGACAATTTTCATTCCAATGAATAGTAGAGACTATCGTCCTTTAATTGACACTAAACAATCTGATGTTTTTGCAATATACATTTTAGAGACTTTGCGAGCAGTCCACCTTTTCTGAGACTCGCTGTATATCTTAGATTCACATACCCATTCAAGCTCTCGACTTGATCCCTTTTTACATATCGCACACGCACGCACTCTCTCACACACACCCCGTATCTTGTCTTCACCTCTCTTAGATTGTCAGATCAAAAGCAAAAAGTTCTATTTGTTTAATCATTCTACTTCATTTCCAGAGTCGATCTCGCAGCCTTCTTCTTTAATAATAAGCTTTACAAGTATTTACTCTACCACTTGATCTCTCTCTCTCTCTCTCTCTCGTTCTCTGTATCTCTCTCATTCATTGATATTTTGCTACTTATTGCTTTGATTATCCAGAATCAATCCCGCAGCCTACTTCTTCAATGGTAAGCTGTACAAGTATTCCCTCTACCAGTACAACAGAAGTTTCGAGTCCTTCAAGGTTTATCTCGGTCCCCTTCATCCAAAATCACAGGAGGCTCGGCAAGGCCAACATGATCTGAGACCATTTATTTTGGTGCAATGGTAATCTTTCCCGGCTGACGTCAGAGACGTTATTGCATTTCAATTGGCCCTGCGACGTTTTTTAAAAGTTATGCCGGAGACGTTTTATCTATCTATTCATAATTCATATGTTTTCGAATAAAATAAAATAAACATTGGAGACAATAAAACGAGTCAATACTCTGAAAAGGAGGGATTAGAATCACTTGCACAACATGTCCTAGGATTGTGTACTTGTTTCTTTTGGTTTCCTTCCCATAGCCATTTCTTCTCTTGGTATTATCTGAAATACCTCAGAGTTTGTATTTAAAATTCATCTTCCCATTAACACCCAATACATTAAAAAACCTGTACACTTCTTCGAGTTGCCTTTTCATAAATTATTTAAATGAGAATGATATGATGAGAAGTACAGAAGAGTAGCAACAAAGATGAAAATATAAACGAGAGATTGTTTATATGAGATCAAAACAATTTAATATTAATAAGATGTGCTTCTTACACTATGTTATAATTATTGAACACGAATGGGGCTGCATGAAAATCGGTACTTCATAATAATCAATGATTATTATTTCATCATAAATATGTGTCTTTTTAAAAAATTGAGGACTAGTAGATTGACTGGTACTTTATATGCAAGAATGCAAGAATGTTCGTAAAATATCTATCTCCACAATTCCCTATATATAGTCTCTTCTCTTAATTACGCTTTCCACAATACACTAATGATGGTAATACTGATTCTAATAACAATATGAGCAATGATAATGTTTGTGAAACATGTCAGTTCAATATTAATATATACAAGGCGCAAAGGAAAACAACAAAATAGTTGTATTTGTCTCTTTTTCTGCCTCTTTCCTAAAAACATGAATAAAATTCACTGCATCAATCTTGCAGCCTACTTCTTCAATGCTAAACTGTACAGGTAGTCCCTCTACCAGTAGAAGAGAGATTTCGAGAACTTCACGTTTTATCACGGTACCCGTCATCCAGAATCATATAGTCTCTTCTCTAAATTATCCTTTCTACAATATAATGATGGTAATTATAATACTAATAACAATGTGAGCAATGATGAAGTTTGTGAAACACGTCAGTTCAATATTAATAATACATGTTTGTACAAGGTGCAAAAACACAGTAGTGGTAGTTTTCTCTTTTTCTGCTCCTTTCCTAAATAATAATACTAACAATGAACATTTATAATGCACCATGTCTGTCAAAATTGTCACTCCTGGCGCAGTTGTGTGAAAAATTATATAATTGTGGGCATCCGACCATCAAGTAAAATACACTGACATAAGTTAAAGTTTAACATACTTCAGGAAACATAATTCACTGCATCCTTTTTGTTAAAATTCTTGGAGAAAATAATTAAATCATGCAATAATCTAATTGAGGTTTCCTTCTTTCAAACAGCCGTAAGAAACATTACAGTGCTTTTTCCCTGAATTACCCTCGAAAATGTAGGATTATATATCTACCCAATAAACAAAACACTAAAAAGTAACCTCTTTTGGGAGTGTATTTTAAGTGATTTTGAAGTATGGTGCCTTTTGAACTAGAATTAAACGTTATCGACACGTGCCTTCATTAAAACAAAAAAGGTACTCCTGTTCACGTTTTCATCTAACCTAAAAACCACCAATTTATCACGCGACTGGAGTAACGTGATTCCACTTACCTCTGTAAATCAAGTCTTTATGACCAAATAACCACTTGACCAAGCAACGAGTTTTTGTCCGTTAACCGATGGTGGTGATAAATAAGTAATTATTTGGTCTTGTA